TCGAAATATATATTAACAACAAAAACAAGTTGGTGACCCCAAATGACTTCCAACATATGGATTCCTTTCGGATGCTGCAGACACAATGGTTCTTTGGTGCACAAATCGGAACCCGTTTCGTCGACGGAAACGATTGCGTCCGCGTTCCGTCGCCTGATGGAACTCCCGGCCGCGGAGAGAGAAGTGACTCACCCAAGAGTCGCAGCCTCACACCGTTGCACGGCGACGACGCCGCGCCGGCCGTCAACCGGCCGGCGAAAGTATAGGCATACCCCGGGGTGAAGCTTTGCACAGTGCCCTTTCTATCCGTAAGGGGGATGATGCACCCAACATGGGAAAGTTGGAATTTTGCTTTCTACGTTCACACCTGGAAGCCTTGACACCAGTGTTCCTTCTCTTGGCTCTAGCCTACTCACCAGCAAGAACAATAAGGGCCAACCAGCCCATCTGTTGGGAGTTGGGGCATCCACTGCAAACACGTCGATAACACTCCCTCCAGCCAAGGTTGAACAAGCTGATCTTGGTGCCTTTGAAGGGAACCAACAGGACGCTGTTCAAGCAAATGTGGATCAAACAAAGTTGTCACAAGGGACTGGCCCCAAGATGCCAACTCAACGGAAATCATAATTCCTCCAAGTCTTGTACAAAGACTTCCAGTTTCAAACACATCCTCTGTCAGGCAAGGACGGGAGAGAAGCAAATGGGTGCTGGGAAACCTCCAGTCTGCTCTCACACGCCAATCCACATGGCTTTGGGGCAGTCTGGGCTTGAGGGGGGAACATTGCATCAGCTGCTTTGTGTAACACCTGAATCTCAAGCTGAACAAAAGCACCAAAGGGAGACGATCACAACACAAAGAGGCAATGCCTCGGAGTTAAAGCAGAATACTTTGCACTACGAAAGGCAGACCACATCCCGCAGTATGCCCTTTCTATCCACCAAAACAACATGCACATGCCAAAATACACATGCACCTGGATATGCATGCATATTTCCTTTGTCATGGCTTACATGGTATAATACATCAAGGTACTCACATCCACAACATTTGACTCGTACTTCTGAGGCAGCCACTCAGAGAGACCGCAACCTGTCAGCACGTGGCGGGTTTTGCTCGTGCTGTCCTCCGTGAAGCGCTGCCAATTAAAGTCATATGGCTGTGGGTAAAAACCAATGGATCCCATTTTGGGGTAGGTGCACCACTCATTTCAGAACCTATTTCAGTGGGGAGTGGGATGTTCACTGGGGGTACGGGCTTTTGACCCATGGCCATATGCTCCCCCAGCCCATTGGAAACCATTCGGCTCGGGTCTTGTCGGGAATTTAGAGCTCCCCCCCCCATTTCCCCGAATGGGCCATAATGCAAGCAAAGCACTAGAGTGGGGTTGTCACTTATGATTATAGTGGCAACCTGTCAAAAAAGAATTGTGGTACTTTCCATATTTACTCAATAGTGGCAACCTCTCAACAAATCGGTTACTTCAAACACTTCGAAACCATACTTAGCCATGATAGCGGCATCAGAAATCAGACAGGTAAGATGGTGTCCACTACCCCCAAACCACCCACCCACAGCTTTTTTTAACGGCATTTAAAGCCCCTATATTGCCGCAAAAGGGAACATCCTTACCCTAGTTTCCATGCTAAAACTTACCCAAAACAAGCTCCTTTGACCCATGAGTTGGACCAACCAGGCAAATGGATCAAACATCATTTGGGGGTTGTACAAAATTACTTTGCCCGGGGCCCCCCCCCCAATCGCCTGCCAAACTTACCCTGGGGGTAGCTTCCGGTTTGAGCCCATCGAACCCTTGGAACCCCAGCTGTGCCTCCATCTCAATGGCTTTGCGGACCGTGGGCGGGATGGGCTTGCAGGAAACCACATCCACAGCCTCAGACTCTGGCGAAAACTTTCTTCAGGGGCCCTGACGCCCAGCTACTTGGGTGCGCGGCCAAGTTAGTGGTTGGTAGCCGTTTGTAGGGGGCTCTTTTTTTTGGCCCTTATTGGAATGCGAGGGGAGAGTTGAAGATGATTGCTAATCACTTGGATGTGCGGTGGATGCCCTGCTGGGCTGTTCGGCCAAGTTAGTAAGTTGTTGGTAACCTAGGCTACAACCCATTCATAAGTCCCCCTAAGCGGGGTTAACCTTGTAATTAGGCGGATATACCCCCAAATGGCTAACCACGTACTAACTTGGCTGAACATCCAAGTACCCACCTTTTTTTCGGGGGTATGATGTTAACCTTGACTCAGAAAGAAAGTATTTCGTAAGGGAAACCCGATTTCTTAAAATAGTATGCTCCGCAAAACACGGAAACTTGGAGCATGGGGGGTTGGACACAATGCTGACACTGTTTCCATTGCGTAGGGGTTCACTTGGGGGTAGGGAAACAGACAATTCCCTACAGAGTTCTGCAAATTCAACAGAAGCAGCCCAAATCCGGAACAGGAGCTTCGAACATGATTTTGGGGTGTACAGATCCATCTTCATCTGCAAAAGGGAAGACCCTCCTGCTTTCTGCATTTTGCTCAATATGTTCTAAACCTGAAATACTACAGCTTACCATGCAATCCAAAAGTCCAACATGTTTGGAGGAATCACCTTTTTGGTGGGCTCTTTATATATAAATATATACACCTATTTCCTTTAAAACATCACCCCCCCCCAGCAAGGGACACGCACCTATGGGCAATTAAAACCACCAGAAAAGGAAATATAGGGCCTCAGTTTTTCGGGCTCCATGTCAATTTGTAGGGGACGAATCTCCAAGGTCCGTGAGCTCGTCTTCCCGAATCAATGAAGTCGCCAGGCTACTAAGCAGCTTAATAATTATATATCCATTTCATAACGTCAATCTAATGGCCATAAATCTGCTTAGTCGAGATGGCGCAATAACAATCTTTTTTTACGAGAATCTGATTGATACACAAGCTAATACGGATGCCATGGAGGCAACGCCAAGCGACCTTGCCAGCAAACGTGGGTCCCAATTTCAACCATCACCCCTGCCAAGCAACACTCACCTTAGATAGGTCAAATAAGTGATTTGCAAAACCACAAAAAGGGGGGATACGGGCAACCCAATGCGATTCACCCGCATCGCTTTGCCAGGTGCAGAAAAGGGGTTGCAGGTTTCGATTTCAGAAGTACTCCCCTTCAACTTAGCCTAGACAAAGCTCCTCTAAGACATGGATGGGCTTTCGGGTTCCGCGCTTTTGTGGTCACACCTCTGAACTGCGGTATCCAAGGCCAAGGGCGGCATATCGCAGCTCTGGCCAGGTGTGGATCTTAGAATGTGCCGGCCATCGAACATGGACTGCGGGGTGCACATGTTTTGTGTGTGTGTGGCTCTTTTTTCTTGTCTGGTTGACAAGGACACCAGGTATGCTTTTGTTGCGGACACGCTTTTCCAGATTGGTTGAAAGGACACCAGGGACCAACAGGAAAACCAAAGCCATTTTGGCGGGTTTCAACAAAAAATGACACCCCACATGCTCCATGGCAACGTTTTCCGACCTCCGCCCGCAACAACCTCCGTGGTTACGTGTTGGCAGAGTCCAGCAGAGCCCTCGAAAAACCAGGACAAACCCTTTGTTCTGGGTTCGGAGACACGTGATCTCCGAATCCAGTATGTCCAAAACCTGAAGCAGGGAGTCACCAAGTCACTGATCTGAATTTGGCATTCGCCTTTTTTGCATCCCCAGGGCTCGCAATGGGCAAATGAAGAATGAAGGCGAGGGTGTCCGACAGGGTTTGCGCCTTGCGAATCTGATTTTGAACTCAAAAGAAGGGTCATCCCTGTCTGCTCTGGCTGCGATGCTACTACTGTCTTTGACATGAATAGAATTTGACAAATGGCATTTCTCCTAGCAACATGGCCACTCCGTGCACGGCTGGCCAATGTGCACATTTGCTCATCCATTCTGCTGCTGACACGAGAGATAAGGCTTTTGACGAAGCCCAATTGTTTGCAGGTCACAAAACAACAAACAACACGAAACCTTTTGGTCAGTCGGCTACCACTCACAGACAGGCGCTACAGGGGTGTGTCATTCTTTTAGCGGACCCCTCAAAATGGTGGTTGTCCTTTTTGTTTCCCTTAAATAAGCTATCAAACATGATACCCTCAAAAAAAACACCTATCCCACCAAGTGACGAATCCACAGCGGAGTCCAGCGAATCCGAGCTGTTCTTAGGATGTCCGCGTCCGCCCCTAAGCTGAGCCTCTGACCGACACATGGGACTCTGACACCAGAAGAAGCGCAGTTAGACCCTGGAGGAGAAGATCGAAACTGTGGACTGCGTCTAAACTTCTGCGAGTTGTTTTGCCAACTTCCATTTGCTTCTTCGCGTTCTGGAAAAATATTAAAACAGAAACAGTAGTGATAGTTTTAGATTCCCTTTAAAACCAACAAGGGATTTTTTTCAGCAAGTGGAAGCCAATCAGCTTTCTGTTGCTGAGACTGAAGCACACGCCGGCTGAAAACATGAAGCGGCATAAGTTAATTTGTGGAGACAAGCGCTGTGGCTTCACGGCGAATTGTTGGGGTATGACACAATCCACGACTTCAGCTTTCGCAACAAGGCCCGATAGGTGCCACAAGACTGGGCAATTCACGTGAGGTCAACCTGTTTCCGTGAGCCCTCTACTCTTAGGGTTCAAGGGCGTCATGTTTGTTGCTAAAGATGTGTTTTGTGAGTGCCTTTAGTGAAGCAAATTCACTAGGGTTGATCAAACGACACAAGAATTCTCTGGAGAAAGGACACCGAAAGAAACTGTTTACAGATTCTCTACCCGCCTTTTGGGTTGCAATTAATTAGGCCTAAGGTGTGAGGCGAAAGGAACCTCTCGGGTTTGTGCCGTGTTCAGGGGCTACGTCGAGCGGTGGAAAGGACGCATTCCCCAAGAGGATGTGGGGAAACGAGCGAATTCAGTGAATCCCCCATGTCCTTGCCAGATGGACCATGTGGCCATGGACTATTGGCAACTTTGACCAAACCTCCTGTGATCTTGTGCAATGCAGACAAGCAGCTCGACACATGACTGCAGACAAGTGTGGCGAAGCCACGCAGAAGTTCAGACTCCCCCACAAAGGTGGGTCAAACCCACGAATGCGTGGCGACGCTTGTCTTCGGCGACAAGACATACATCTCACGTTGCTCTGTCCAGCCCAAGTTCATTCTATGTCTTGGATCAGTTGCTCGGAATCTCCTGGGCGGACCGAGCAACAGCTGCCAAAAAGGGTCTGCTCCACGCGTCTGGTACAGCCAGCGATAGAGGTTGGGGTAAATAGAGGTTGGGGTCAAAATAGCATCACTCATAGTATGGAGACGGCTCCAAGGTCCGGAGTAAAGCTTGCAGATTGCGCAAGAATCACGCTAGACTGCACCCAGTTGCGTGGTCTGCTTGGAGCAACTTTCCAGCCCAACTGCCCGCCGCAGGTGGGTGATGTTGGGGAGGTCCACAGGCTGCGCGGCCTGGTGCTGGATCTAAAAGTGGCTTTCCGTCGTTTTACAATAGTTCCAACATGGCTGTGGGTCACCATTTTCGGGTAGGTGCACCACCCATTTTAGTCTATTTTAGTGGGGCTTTGGATGTTCACTGGGGTCACGGGATTTTGACCCATGGCCACAACTGAAAAAAACAAAACATGGTGAGAGGTGAGGTCGCCGCGACATAGGCCGAAAAAGCGCGGAGGGCCGGTTCAGCGAAGGTCCTGCGGCTCGAACTTGTGCTGCAAGCTGCCGAGGTCTGTGAGATTTCCCAGCTCCGCCTGAGCGGAGCTCTGTGGGCACTTGCAAGTCCCATGGCTGGTGGAACTGTTTCTTCTCAAAATTGCGTTGTCACCAATAGTGCTATTGTTTTCATTGTTGTTTTTGCTTATTGTTACTACTATTGATATTCTATGTTTTCCCTCAGCAACCAACTTCGATGAAACCAACATGGCGAAAGGCCAAAACTTCCATCGCGATGGAAGGGAGTTTGCGTCCTTTCAAAATCGCATTTAACTGGAACCTTCATGGCTTTTAATCCGCTACCCACACAACCATGTTTTCTAAACAAAATAGCCCCAGCTGGGAATTTCCCAAGTGTGTGGATCCCGGGGCTGTAGTTCATAAACACTTAGATATGGTTTGCCTGGTGGTTTTTGTAGATACGGGCTGCTGCCAATACGGGCACTGCCTCAACTTACGGTGAGAGCGTTCTGGTCGCAGGCAGCTGGCAAATGTTTGAGGAAGCCCTCGTCAGCAACCAGCAAGCCTCTGCTTCAGGATGAGCGGCAGTGTCCCCGTGCCAACTAAGAGTGCTTGCAATGATGAATCAAAACCAAACAAAGGTAAGATGGGTGTGTCCTTAAAACGGACACCTCTTTTGGTTGGCTTTAAGGGGAAACACAGGACACCACCGGTGAGAAGGTTCTCTGGGACAACTGGTTCTGCAAGCCAAAGGTCAACCAAAGTGGGAGTGGATATACCCCATACCCCTTGGATCCAAATACAGTTGGGCATATTCCGTTCTGGGGAGATGATGTGACAACAACAACAACAACAAGCCTTAAAGGGGTCATGTGCGCACTTCCTGAGAACAATAGCCAGAAAACCTCAAACTTGCTGTTTACAACTAAACACAAACAAAAACACAGGTCTGCCCAGCGAGTGTCGGAAGTGAGTTTCCTCAAAGGAAAGATTATATACCGACTGGCAGTCATTGGTGATTTGCGAGGCCCTGGCAATCCGTCGCAGAAGTGCACCTGCGGCCCAGGTCGATGTGTTTGACAGCAAGGTACTCTGCGTGCTGAAAGGGGGTTTTTAGAAAGGGCCCCACCAAAAAAGAAGATTCACCCAAACATCAATCGCGGGGGTCCTAAACTAGGGATTATCTGCAAAGTAGATTAACAGTTGGGTTCAGGCGCAACTGCCCCTGGTTTACCCCCAAAATGTCACCCTGAGCCTGTAGGCCCTTGCTTGTGGCCTGGTCCCCTGTTTGGGATCCAGTTTTGGTGCCAGCAAACAACTAGATGTCAGTAGGGATTGCTTGCCATGGCCTTCATAAAACACTTTGCCAGGCCACCTGCTCACTCCGAAACGCCGACGACCAGCTTCCCTCAGCTTCCCATGCTGTGAGTCTTGCTTGGGGATAGCCATAGTTCACAGTGTTAAAAGCCTTGGTGACCATCCTCTTGCGCGCTTCCTCTTGGCCATGGGGCAGGACAGCTTGGCCATAGTTTTCGGGCCTGTGGCACACACGGGAAAGAGCAGCAGATTAGCCCTGCTGCCATCCATTGCATCTCATGCCCTTCGAATCAAGCAGGGGAGCGCGGCATGACTGACGGAAGCTACCTCGGTCGGTTAGCCGCAGTTATGGGATACCAGATCTCTTCAGCCCCAGTTGGTCCGGGTGAAGATCCAGAGCCTTACTCCTGTCGATGGGCGCGACGTGACTGGCAAAGCCGTGGGTCCTGTCTCAAGAAGAATCTTGATTAATTTCGGGTTGCAAGACGTCGCTTACAACCTCTACTATGCCCTACGATGTCACTGCGCACGGTCCAGATCCATTGGCAGCAGTGGGGCGGTCTGAAGTCACCGAGATCGAAGTCTCTTGGAATGAAGCCTGTCACACACATTCACGTGGTGGTCCCGCTCTACCCGGCACAGCATCCTAACCACCGCCACTTCACGGCACTCCATGGCGGAACGCGGTCGGGCTCTTTGGTAGGCCAGACCCATGGCAACTAAACGGCCTCGCTCCGGCGGAGGATTGCGCTACTGAGCATTTGGCCGAGTTGATGTTTGAGCTTGCCAGCAAAGGGTTCTGCGTCCTTTCATTGCTCATATGAGAGCGTTTGTCTATGCTGAGCAGCAGATAGTCCTGCTGCCATCCATTGCATTTCACGCCAGGGGAGTGCGGCATGACTGAGGGACCGCACTCAGCGAAGCTACCTCAGTCACGGCATACCGGATCTGATCAGTCCCCCGCGCCTGCAAGTGATGATGAAGGTCCTTTTGCTCCCCCCCCCCCCCTGAACGGCTGTTGCTTGACGTCTCCCTGCTAAAGTAGGCACAGGGAAGCCATCAACTCGAATCGTTCGACTCGAACGTCAGATCTGGGAGGCATTTAAGTGTGTGTGTGTGTGTGCGCGTGTGTCTCCGATTTCACAGATCAGAAGAAAGTAGATCATATAGTGGGTCTACAGCCTCTTTACCCTTGGCGCCCCATCGCTTGGGGCATGGTCCATCGCATCCCTTCGCTCCCGAGGAACCTGCCTGCGCTGCTAAGATCGTCCAGCAGGTCGACATCGCATTCGTGGACCTGATCCACGAACTCATGAAGGTGTCCCTAGGATCCCCAAAATGCTTGATTTGACAGCTCAACTACCTTCAAGTGCTCCAGGAGCTGGTCTCCTGCAAGGTTTTCTGCTCAATACAACAAAAAATGTGTTTTGACAGTTGTGTTTTTACCACACAAACTCCGTCTAGAAGAAAGTCTCCGAATTCGGAAACAGTGTCCTTCTTTGGGAGACGAATGGTTCTTCTTGAAGGGAGCCCCGTCCGTCAGGTGCCATAGCAACTTGTGTTTTGCGTTTAGGGGCCCATGGCTTCTGGATATCCCAAAACATGTCAATGACTCCAAGGCGAAAGTTCATGTCCCCCGAAGGACCGACAAGCAAAAAACACCCTCAAACACGATTTTGTGTGTGTGTGCCTTTGAGGGTACTATTTTCAGCTTGCTATACAGGCAAACCAAAAGGACAGTCACCGCTGTGTGGGGGTCTCCGCAGTTTAACACATGTTAACCCTTTGGCACGAGAGCTGACGGCCTCGCGCGAAATCGAGCGATTCCACGGGAAAACCACTGGTGAATGTGTCTGTTTGCAAACCAAGCTGACACCGAGGTTTCTCATGCCTTACTGACACGGATTTGTAACAAAGTCAGGGTATATCTCAAAATGGTTCGGGTCTTTTCAACTTTGACATTCGGGTGTGTCTTTATTTCATGCACCACTTTTTTGTGATCTACAAGGGACACTAACAGGGAAACCGAAGCCGTTTTGGGGGGTCCAACTTTGAAGAAGTACCACTTTGAAGGGAAACCAGCAAGACACACTCATTCGGCTTTCTTCCCACAAAAACACCTGAGTCATAATCAAAACCCGGTATTGAAATGGTCTACCCACAAGCATGCTTCAAGAATTAAGAAGGCGGATATCCGTAGCAACTTATGGCAAGGGGATTGTCCCATCCCAGAGGCTCCCGATTGATTTGGGGCCTTCAAACAGCCTGGTTTTGAGACCCCCAACCTCCTCCGGGTGTTCTATTGGAGGGGTCGGGTTTTCCATTGAAAGCCCCAGGAGCCTCTGGGATACTAAACTTCCCTTACCCGGGTTTCGATTGTGGCTCATGCCCGTCTCGGCATCAGATCGATCCGCTTTGCGCCTGTGTCATGAAGGCATAGATCAAGTACTCCTCGCCCTGCAGATCGACGCTTTTGGGCCACTCCATGGGTTTCGAGGGTTTAATAATGTGGGTGTGTCTTTTTGGAGGATCCCACTTTCTTGCAGATCTTTTCTTAAAGAAAAACAACTGGAAGAATGTTGCTTTTTCTTCGGGCGGGGGGAGGGGGGTCCCCTAAGAAAAGTACTCGAAGGGTCCAAGGAGACTCCCAGTGGACCAGTAGACACAGCTGTGTCTCTGAGGGGTTGGACACTTTTGGGCCTAGGGAATCTGCCTGTCCGCCACCCCAAGGTACGGCCGAGTCAAACCTGGAAGCCTCACTTCGCAGAATGACCATCTGGCAAAGGCGGCATATGCAAATCATCTTGCGAGGCGCGCATGCATTGAAGGAACGCAATACACGCAGAAGTTTGTTCGTCTCAAGAAGTGACACACCACAGGAAGCAAGCACAAGACGTGGGCCAGCAAGGACATGTTCCGTGACGGCAATTTCTGCACCTGCCACCGGACAATTTAAGCGAAGGGTTCGGGTATGGCTAACTAACTGAAACTTGTTGTTTAGACTATCTTTTCAATTGTTTCCTTTCTCTCCACTCCATTGGTGTCCCTTCTACTTGGCCCATCCCAAATTGAGCAACTCGAAGAGTCAAAGGAGATGGGGCTGTGGACGTGGCTGCCTGGGCATGTCAACAGGTCAGCAAGCCATACTATAGGCTTGACACCTAGCCTTGGCCACAAGCAGCCAACTAATGTCAGGACAACATATTATCCTCTCTGCATGGCAGGGATTGCCTATGTCATTGTGCACTTGTGATTAATAACTGATATGATGATATGATATCTTGATCCAGATTGTGGACTTAAACGGCAAAACATGCGGTTTGCCCGCGGAGTAATTTGAACCAACCTCTGCGCAAATCATCTCTCTTTCAGTCCCTTCTGACTGGGCTTGTTTCATGGGGAACCACAAACTGGGCGGTTTCCCTTTTCTTTCCCTCAAACCAAGACCAAACTTCCAGTGGACAAGGTCAGCCTTTTTGGTAGTTAACTTTGACCCTCCAAACGGCTATGTGAACTCAATTCACAAAGCGTTTGACCTGGTTCTGTGGCCAGGGGTTTTGAACTGAGGACTCCAGGTGACCGGGTTTTTGTTGATGTTCATTTGGGCGGTCCAAAAAGGGTACCCAGAACAGAATGCTGGTAAATGGAAACATGGACCAAAACCTGCGGTTCCCTGGTTGAATTTTGACCCATTTCTCATTCCATGCAACCAGGGACCCCGGGTTTAGGACATGCCCCAAACGTGGCCGCCCCAAAGTGGCCTCTTCGGGCCGCCACGGCGCGAAAGCTTTGAAGCGACCTTGCGGTCCAACCCGAGCCACGTGTTCACCTGCTTAGCTTGTAGTTTCTGGACCCAAGAAAGAGGTGGATCAAACACAGGGAATGAACGAATGAAGCTTGACACTTGAATATGTTTTAGTGTTTCAAGCGGTGTCAGCGATTCCCTTCCAGGAGGGTACTGCATTTCTGACCAACGATCACAAACCTTCTCCATCAAGCTGTATTGACCAACTGGAAGGCACTACGTAACATCATGTTTAAACAAATATGTAGTTAAGAGCCAATCGATTCAGTACCTGAAGAGGTACCTCAACAACTGAAGTCTGGCCACGGAACAGAGCAATCCATGAGCCCGCGCCTCCATTAGCGGTATCTGACTGCACTCCTTGTCAGGTCGGCGGGACCTTTCTGGGTTTTTAAACAAACAAAAACAGAACACATAATTTCAGCCCCCAATTTGGACATGTTATTGAGTTGGTCATCTTTGCTGGTTTGAAAAGAACGCCAAAGGGAACCCAAAGCATTTGCATTCCCGGGGCAACCCATATCTCATGTTGGGACACAGCTGACTGCAGATTTCATGCGTGCGAAGCGGCAAGCAAGTGAAACGGGAAAAAGTAAAACCTGGTACTACAGGGTTGAGGACGTGGCCACGGGGGCAAAGAACCAAAGTCTCCTGATGGCACCAAGAAAAGGCGATCGGAAAGAACCAAAAAAAAAAGAGTCAACGGGGCTATATGGCCCGGGGACAACCCCCAACCATAAAGGCTTGATTGTGTCTCATTTCACATGCTTGCCCCTTGGCATACATGAAATCTGGAGTGATCTCAAGAAATTTGCTTCTGCAAGTGTTGGCATGCTCAGAAATGTGGACAGCTCATGTGAGCAACAAGCTCCCTTCCGCGAAGCTTTCTGCATGCGGAAGCGCACGTGTGGCGAACTTGAGCGCAATACCAAACACATCTCAATTCAAGACCTCAGTCTTCGAAGAGGTCTGAAAACAGAGCTGTTCTCGGATTTCCCCTTGGTTTCAAATGAAGAATCAGCCAGCGGCAGCTGCTTTTCATGTCTTCTTGGTTGATGAGGAATCAGTTGAAGGCAACTGCTTAAACCAATGCAACAAGGACACCAGTTCCAAGCATTTGAGGAAGCCTGAGCCCTGTGGTCCGCTTGGTGGAAAAGAAGGCCAACGGCAACTGCTTTTCAGGAAGCTCATGCCACCTCGTGGCCATGGGAGCCGCGCACCCTTCTTTTCGTAGCTTCAAGAACCCCTGTACACAAAAAGCGATTGCTGGGTGCTTGAAACCTCCCGGTAAAAAAAAAAGGGCGGGGGGGTCTGCCACGATGGGGACGCCGCATGCCGAATTCGTTCATTTGGGACCCCACGTTGCAGCTCTGCCGGCAGCACGAAGAGCGCCTTGTGCAATGCCCTGAGGCGGACGGGGTAAGAAACCGATATGTTCTGATTTTGGTTAACACTGTGGGTGGACGAAATCCTGCACCGTCCAAGAAACCCTCAAATGATGATTCCTTTGCATGGATTCAAAGTGGCGCGAATGGATTTCGTCCACCCACAGTAGTTATACCCTAAATATAAGATAGCTTGGGAGACCCCCCAGGTCAGAGCCTTAAAAATTAGGATCGGTTTGTGGGAAACTATCATTCAATAAATTTAGTACTGTTTATAGGAGGAAACTATTTGTCATTTATTAGCCCCTAATATGAGTTTCTCCCGCTGGCAATGCGCCAAGGTGCCGGAACACAATCACCACCAGTCAATTCAATACAAACCAGTGAGACTGGCAGCTCTTATTTCTGCCCTGGAAACACCAAGATGAATTCCACTGAATCTCTGCCCCGGAACAAAAACACATGAATTCCTCTGGTCAGCCAAACATTCAACGACACACGGGCCTCAAGGGAGAATGCAATTGTACCAATTTATCTGGCTGTTTGGGTTGAATGTGCCATCGCGCGCTGAGTGCGTGCCCAGTTGCCCACTGACCCCAGTAGCTTAGTAACTTAGCAGGAAGGGAAATCCACCAAACATACAGGGAAAAAAGCGTGCCACTGTGACCCGTCGATGGTTCCTTGGTGCAATACTCACAAGGCAGGGACACACGAAGCATCCATCGAAACCAGGGTTGGGCTAAGCCTTGTTTAAATATGAAATCAAACCTGGTTCTCCTTTAAATGGCGCCATGGCCCGATTGTTTTTGTGCAATCTTTGGCCGCTCCAAAGCCAAGGGGCCTCCAACCATCTCAGGACCCGGACGGATGGTAGTAAGTCGCTTGATGCTTCTCTGCAAAGCCTACGGGAAGGCCGACCGCCTGCCAAGCTGGACTTGCCCCTTTCTGGGTAGTTTTCCAGTCACAATATGCTGATTTCAAGCCATGGGAGGGGGAAGCCTAGCAACCTAATAGTGACTATTGGTGCCCCTCACCGACCGTGTGGTGCCATTGATAACAACAGGGGAGTCAGAACCTTTCTATGGCTCGTGCTGTGGCTCTGAGTTAGTATTGGCGCAGTCTCCGCGCAGTCCTTATGCGCCGACGCACAAAACATGACTTGTGCATAACGTGTCTCTACACCTGGCATCCAGCGAGCCAAAGCTTTGCTGGTAAGATGTTCATCATCAAGTGGTTCTCGCGAGGTTTTCCGTTTTGCAATGGGTCAGGTCCGCTACTTTTCCGGATCACGATGATCGAAGTCTTCAGTGGACCAACCTGCAATCGTTGTGCTTTCCTCGGCCACACTTCTAGAAACCTAAGGACACTCCTCTGGTCATTTGCGGCACATGTAGTGAATCCCCCATGTCCCTCCCAAAATTTTGAGAACCCAGGAGTCCTACTCCATGGAAGATCGCCAGAAACCTCCCCAAGCGAAGTGGAGAAACTGTAAGATCCAAAGTTTGAGAAACCGGATGCTAGGCCAACAAGGCCAACCACTTAAATGGTTCTATGAACTTGTCCCTTGGACATCCTGGAGATTCATGTCCACCCTTTGGCAAGGAGGGTGTGGTGACATGATTCACATGGGTGTGTCATTTGTTGGGGGACCCCCCAAAACAAAACACGGTTTCATTTCAATCACTAACAAAACGGATACCCCCCCAACAAACAAACAACGAAACAATAAAAAAAAAAAAAAAACTGTATGGGGATTTTTATGCCCAACCAAATTTGAGACTGAAGTGGGACCTCGGCCAGTGAACCGTGCCTGGCCAATTGTGCCACTGCACCTGTCGGCAGCCAAGGGCTACGTCCATGTGTTACAAGGGGTGCCTTTTCTGGGCACCCTATGTTTGTGGCTGTTGAAGGGAAACCAAAAGGGACACCACAAGGAAGCCACAAGGAAAACCACAAGGCACCATAGATATGTTTTTCGTGCTTTTGCTGGTTTTAAAGGAACCCAAAAGAAGCACCGAAGACCGCCAGGAGGGACCAACCTTAAAAGGTCACGAGCCACCCATGGGGCGTGGGAATCCATCTTGGAGCCGCTGGCTTCCCATGGCGGGGCTGCAGTAGACAGTGATGGATGAAACCCTGCCATGGGGCGGGGGCGGGGGGGTAAACCACCTAGACTCCCAAAAAATGGTATAGGACTTGTGGGCCTGGAAGCGTCCAGGTGCAGGAATCGTCCATCCGCAGTAGCAAAGCCAAGGGACAAATCGCACGTGTTGTGGTGGGTCAAGGATTGGCAAGGGAAGGTCAATAGTGACTCAATGTCTAGGGACAAATACGTCTTCTTCCTCCATGCCGAAGCACTTCTGCGTTCTCCGAAAGCACTCGTTCTCAAGAAGCCAAACAAGCCCGCCAATTGGTAGGACACTTTTTCGCCTTAGACGTCACGAACCCCATCCTTTTGCTACCCAAAAATTGCTTATTTCATGGGCTTCAATCCACAACTGGTGCCTGGCATGGGTTTTTGCCCATATGAAAGGCAGTCAGCATTTTCACCCAGAAGTAAAAGGCTCACCTTTGAAAACTTGACTAAAAATGGACCAACCAAGGGCAAGGGACAGGTGAATTGGTTGATTTGGGCAGAGCTTTTCGTCTTCAAACGAGGCAAATAGATTGGGGATGGCCAAGGACCTCTAGGTTTCCAGTCCATCCACAGCGGTCAACATCCAATTCTGCAGTTTCCCGTGCGAAAGGCGGGACAGGGATCTAGGCGTGTCCTAAGAGGGTCGCCTTCTGGGAACAACCAAACGAAATCACCAAAGTGTTGGGGCTAGCCTCGGGGGGGGGGGGGAAAATAAACGGCAAAAACCGCCCTCTTCTATTTAAATATAACAATGCACCATAAATCCTTTTGTATACTTGTTTTTTGAATTTTGGGGTACCCCCCGTTTTGGGGGTGGCGCATGCTCGCCTCGAGACGTTCTCCCCTCATTCCCCCCGCCTGCAGTGGGTCCAGGCCAGGCTCTCTGGAGCTGAGCAGCATCAGCCGCGGGAGCCCTCGGCCGATTTTCCCCGCGGCAACTCGCCGCACGTGGCCAAAGACCCAAAAAACCGCCGGTGTTTCGAACTTAGATGTTTCAGGCTTCTTCCAAAGTCTCAAATTCATGTTTTTTTGGTTTCTTCCAAAGTCTCAAATTTGGATGTTTCAGGATTCTTCCAAAGTCAGCTTCACTTCAAGGGAAACGGCCCCGTTTGACAGTCACAACTTTCGGAAACAGTCGCTCCCTACACTTGAAGATGGCACAAAACAACAGGGATCCTCCAGAGGGCAGGGCTTGGAACCACCTCAGCCTCGGGTTTTCTCATGCTCCCGGCTTGGACCTTTGGTCAAGTTCCGCATGGCGAACTTGCATTGTGCGGGAGTGAGGAGTAACTCACTTCCTGCGTTGATTGGCCAGAAAAAGTCCAAACTTTTTTCTTACAACTAAAATGGTCTTCTGAAAAAGTCTCAAGTCCATGAACTCAGGGAGTGAGGAATCAAGCCGAAACATCGCGAAAGAGTTCACACCACATCCTATACCTCCAGTGGCTGGGGAGTGCACCTTTCGTGCAGGCTAGGGCTTGACATCAACTCCCTCGAAAAAGAACGAAACAAGAACAAATGACTATTCGAGGTCTGGGACATAGCTTGTGCGACGTTCGACTTCTAAGAGGCTGACTGAAGTAGAGGCCATCGAAGTCATCCCCTGCCGCCTGGATAAACTGCTTGCTGCCAGTTGGGTCTGACAATGTGTGTGTGTGTGTGTCCCAGTTTGCTCTGGAGATGAACCCCTTTTTGAACCCCCTCAACAAGATTCAACAGGATCATGACCACAGAGTGAGTAGCCGAGTACTAGCCAATCGGAGATCCCTTTCCAGTCCAAATAGGTGCCAATACGATTTTGTGTGCATTCTTTGTTTGCCAAGGTCGGCACTGTTTGCTGTAGGATGGCTCATAGTCAGCCTTCAGCCAGCGTGATGGGAAGCACTGCAAGCATGAACCTGGCTGATAAATCAAGAGCAAGAGCACCTGCAAAAGAAAACGATCCTAAGAACGGGGGCCTCACATAACGTTAGATGAGTAGCATTACTTGACTGAGGGAAGAATCGCTCTGCGTAAAATCGGAGGTACTCATCGAACCGAAGTGACCCTCCCCTCAGGTGTTCAGTGACCCTGGAAAAAAAAGGAACCCTGTTTGGGAAAGACAATTTTTGGTGGGGCAGCCACCAAAAGAAAAGGGGAAAAAGGGTGCAACTGAACAACTGAGTCCCCTAACTTACCGAGTTGACCAAGCAGAACCAGCGTGTTGCTTTTGCACACGAAAGCTTCGGGCGATGATGTCTGCTTTGGCGGTGGCGGCTCCTGTGATCAGCGAGCGATCGCAGCTGTGTGCTTTCGTGGTTCGTGTGCTGGCCGGATTGGCTTACCAGAGCTCTGACATCACCACAGCGGCCCCTGCGAGTGTTGGGACACATGCCAAATGGATCCAGCTGGATCCAACTGGACTTCCGGGTGAAAAGGGCTCTACTCACTTCCTGGGTAAATTTGGTTCGCCACAAACATAGTCCAAACCCAAAAAGTGGCTAAAGTCCAGCACCACTTGCGAGTGTGCGGGTTACTCTGGCCCGGTTCAGGGCGTGAACCGCAGCCACAAAGTGACTACAGTCCAGGAACTCAAAGGAGTGAGTCAAAGGGTTTGCTCTGGAAACTCAAATGGCTGTGGGTAAAAACCAATGGGATCCCATTTTGGGGTAGGTGCACCGCCCATTTTAAAACCTATTTCAAAGGGGATTGGGATGTTCACTGGGGGTACGATTTGGATTTTGACCCATGGCCAAATAAAACAGCCCGTGTGAAAGAAATCCCCTTGGCTGCACGAAGCGATACACAAAGAGCTTGGTCTCCCAGCCACAGGCTGCGGGCTGCCACTGCTCATGGCCAAAGGCCACCTCGAGAGCGAGCGAGCGCCAAGCGGCCGAGTCGATGGAAACCCGAGCGGGGCCCAAGCACCCACCAAAGGAACCCCCTGGGGTGCCCTGAGGAAGGCCTCTTAGAGGATTTGTCTCCCCTTGAACCAGACATTTTTTTTGGGAAAAGTCAAAAAGTCCGTGCCAACCAAAAAAGCGGATGGTGAAACACTGCGCTCGCACATGGTAGACAATGCCCTTGCTCAACAAGGTGACATCCATTCCAAAGGAAGCCCCTCTGACTAAAGCAGATCTACCTGTGTCAAGTTGACATGATACTCGGATGACTGAAACATGTGGAAAGGTCTGAGTATCCATCAGGTCGCATGTCGACAGCCGGCTGAGGGCGTCCATTTTCAGATTCTTTGCTCTTGATCCAGAGGCTCTGTTTGACTGTGAGATGCTTTTTGGGCCTCTGGGCTGCTCAGCAGCTTGTCTCCTTCCCAGAATACAGAAGGAAGAAACGCTCCCGTTGGGGTGGACGACGTCCGACTGATGGCTGCTTATCTTTGGCTTTCAAAGACGCAGGCAGCTCATGACCTCACCGCCTTTCTGCTTTGGGCATTCTAAACGCCAAGTACCTGTTGCACCTGTATGTGTTGTCAACTCACTCACGGATAGTGGTTTTTCTCTTGGGATCCTTGGACTGATGATACTTCAATTGGGGGGAGCAACAAAAGAGACAGGAATGACTCACTTTTCGCCCTAAATCACACGATGGACAAAATATTGCATCCTGCGAAGAAAAAAAACAAAACATGGATATGAATTTACCAACTGGTGCAGACTTCAGTCCATGCACAGCATTGACACTCTAGAGCACTCCTGGCTCATGGACGGTCTGCACGCTCAACACAAAGCCAAACGAGTTGAAGTTCCAATGGGCCATGCGCATGTTGCACAAGAAGCAAAAGTCAAATCTGCGGTGAAGTGGAGGAGCTTCTCGCCCGGATACTTTGTGTGACTCAGTTCGTGGTGAGGTAGCCGCCAGCACTGCAGCCCTCCGCTTCCGGAGGATCTTGGCGTCGCTCGGACTCCTCCGGAGGATTATCAGCAGGATGCTTCTGCACCTCCATCCAAAGTGCTGGGACCGAAATCTGGACACAACATGTCGTTCCACAAAGGAAGAAGCAAAGAACGAAACCAAACAACATGTGCTTCTCAAGCCTCCCCAAAACCAATCAGCACTTGCTTCATCACTTGCTTCAAACCAACAAGGACTAAGCAAACAAGGTTAAGGACGCCTCCTTAAAGTATCCTTCCGCCCAAACAAATCAAACATCTCCCCTACTCCAAATACACGGTATTTGTTCATTTGGTGTACTTTGAAGAACCAGGTTGTGACATATTTCTAACTCCCTTTCTTACTCAGGGATTGATATCATACCCTACCCATAAACACGTTCTAGTCTGAAGTAAGGCGAGGGCGTGCCAGCGAAAGTCTGGCGATGCATCTCCAGCCTGGGATGCAGCGCGCACGCACACACACACACACACATTGACACATTCGCATGCGCATGACTTGGGTCTCTTCTGACATAACTTTGCATGTGAAGGTTCACTAAATATGGAGCATAGCCAAAAATCAATGTAGGGTGTGGGGGACAACAAACCGAGGTAGATGAGAGCAAATAGCAACAAAGCACCCCACCCGAAAGTAAAGAGTGGTCGAGGAACATCTTTTTCACTCTTTCCATTTGTGATTCCTGCACACAGGGTGCGGCAGCTGTGGTTCACAATCACAGATGGCAGGCGTAGGAATGCTTGCCCCTGTTGCATCAGCGTCACGTACTTTGCATGGATCAACATCCTAATCATGAATTAGGACGCTGTAAACCAGGAAGCACAGCGTAGTTAAACAGTTGCTTGGCTGTGTTTTTTGAGGGTACCCCCCTTTTTCGGTGGTTTAACGGGAAACCAACAGGACAAATCGCGAATTGTGGGATTACACACACACACACACCTGGGCAAATATCGTCATTCGCACACCTGGCCATCTAAAACGAGTTATCTCCCAGCGTCAGGAACCTTCGTGGGGTAAATCGGTCGCAACACAGCCCGCCAGGCTGGCCGGCACGTGGCCAAAAGACTGCGGCATGCCGATACTGCCGGCCTGGCAGGGGCAATTGCAGGACGATCGAAACCATACAAGTACCTGAGATACTTTGACCCCTTGCCTATAAGGGGGGCATGATCAAGGCCCAAACCAGCGCCAAAGAAATGAAAGGGCGGAACGTGGTCGCATTTGTTTGTTCGGAAAGGGACATGCCCCACCCCCCCCCCCCCCGATTCAAAATGCACCCGGTGTTGCTTGTGACACTCGGCTCATCCCCACAACAGCACGAGCATCTGGGAGCATGCCCTGATTCGAAATATCTCTTGATGGTACTTCTGAACTGCCGAAATCTACCGCAGTCGTCAAAAGCCATACAGCATTCTGCTCGCAGCACGAGAGGTTTGGATACGAATACTGGATAAACCATCACGATGCTAGTTTGGATTTGAACGCACATGTTGCCAGCCTTCTGGCAAGCACACATGAAGACACTTGTCACATTTCTCTTCAAGTGCAAGAGTGGAACACATGTCCACCGTAACATGACTTTGGCTGACAAGCCAAGCACACATACTTCATCTTAACTCCGCAAAGTGACAGTGCCACATTGGCGCTACTTCTGAAAAGCCCAGAGTCCAACACGCCATTATAGTTGGCGCAATCGCCTGAGCAACATTGCAAGAAAAGGTCATAGGTTTGAGGGCCTGCCGCTACGCAGGCAGGGTTGGGCCACACTTTACGTGTCTGCACACAACATTCTCCTGTGGGATTCCCTCTAAAGGGGTTCATCCTTGCTCTTCATTCAAATTCTGCAAAACCCCGTCACCTCCCCTTAGTATGCCACCGTTTTTTTGGAGGTTTGTTATGCATAGCCACACCAATCGCATACCACTCTGCATATATTACTCAATCGCATGCATGGCCATGGCTCCAAGCTACCAATTGCCTCCTGCACAATCAAGCCCCCAGGAGCCATCAAAGCCTCGCAAGATCCGGGAGAGCTCTGCCGCATGGGCTGGCTCACCAATTCCCACAAAACGCCAAACACTCACCGGGGGACCAAGGAGATTTTGAGGCATTCACACCATCTTCAATCTTCAGGCCCAAATGCCCAAACAGATCAAAAGGGGGTCGGTCTCAAAATACAAAGTCGCTTTTGGATGGTGAGTTTGAACGGAGACCAAACAGACACCAGACAGCTTTGCGGGTCCCCCATTTTGAGACAAACCCATATTTTGTACTCCGCTTTGAGCGTGGACGGCTTTACACACATCATCGTTGACTTCCTCTTGGCTTCCCTGCAACAACCATGCCAACATGTCCAAACACAAATCGCAAGTTCTGTACTGCCAAGCCAGCGTATGGCTCTGAACATGATGTCAACTGAAAACCAGTTGGGTCATGAGTCCCTGCTTGCTTTGAAGTCAGAGGTGCAATCAATTGCAGAAGATACCAGCTTGAGACTTCAACAACTCGAATGAATCCAAGTGGCTGATTTCAAGTGAAACAGACTCATGGCATTGCGTGATCAATTTCCGAATTGAACACAACATATGGCAAACCGCTTAGAACATTCTGACAAGCCTGTTGCTTGGACTTCAACTGAATGATTTCTGAAGAAAATACATCACCGCAAGACACACAACCATAAGTAGAAGCAACCATATGTTCAAGGCTTAAGTGATTTCGCAATCTTGAAAAGCGTACCGACTGTTGGCTCCATCCATGCTGGTGGCGAACACCAAACAAAGAGGAACAAACAAGTGCTAGTGGGCAACTGGGCTCCAGATTCACTCCGAAGACTCTGGCAGAAGGCCAACAACTTGGTCCCTGGAAAACGACAACGCCAGGATCCAACATTATGTTTGTCTTCCCTGCGGTTTGATCATGTTGGAGCTTTGGAGTAACCAAAGTCTTGGACTTCCGTATCACGAATCAACATCTCCTGAAATCGATCTCCGTCAGAATATCCAACCGCTCTTGGTGAACTCTACCGGTTCAAGCGCGCTGTGTGCAGTTCTTTGTTGTCTCCATTGGCATCCGTCCGTGGAACCTTGGAGGCACTGCTGAAAGGCCAACTGAATGCACAGGATTGCAGATGTAAAACGCTGCCCTGATTCCTATGGACCACCTGTTTAACATGGAGCTTTCTCTACCACCTCTTGTTGTTGAGGCAGCTCCATTCAGCTTCCCTCTAATGATTTGGAGCTCGGTTTGGTGTTTTTGGTTTGGTGGGATCGTTTCCCATTTACCCACCAGAACCAGGGCTTCAAACCACAAACCAATCCAAACCCCCACCCTGGCGGGTTACCTGATCCATGTCACCCGGGCCATGTCCCTAACCAGAGCTCCATCCCCAGCTCTGGAACGGATCGCTACCACCAGCTGCCCGGAAAGCCCTTCAGGCTCTGGCTCGGAGCTGCCTGCGAGCTTCAATGGCCCAAAAGGGGTCCTCAGACCTTGCAGAGTTCCCCTGGAGAAAAAACAACAACACATATGGTTTTTCTGGACATATTCGAATCCATTCGCACCCCTTTGAACACATATTGGCTGAGGGTTTGCGATGCGCCACGAGCATTCCTGCTGGGGACACCCTGCTGTGAATAAACCAGGGCTTTCAACAACCAGCCGTTTTCCCTGAAAATGGGGAAGGTACCCCTAGAAGTATATGGGTCAGTATTGCAACATGACATGAAGTTCTGTTTTGTGACCTGCGCCAACAGCTATGAAGGACCCGCACCGAGAGCCTTTTTTTGCGCCGCTTTCGGCAGAAGTCGTTCTCCCAGTTTAATCTGCGGCTTGAAGTTTTACAATTTACCACAAATGACATCGGAGTTGGCGACATCTGAGTATGCGACCCGGAGTCGCTTGCTGGTTTTGTTTGTTCTGATCACCGCTGGCCAAGTGGCCAGCAACAGCACCGCAAGCACTTGGGGTAAAGTAGATTATATATAATTCTACAGGGGTTCCTGGATTTCCCCTTCAAAAGTTGCATTTTACTGGTGGGTTGCATTGCAAGTGCCCAAGTGCGACTTTTGAAGGTTCCAAGAGAAGGGAATGGAGGAAACCCTGAGCCAAACCCTTTGTGTCGTGCGGGGCTTCAGCAACCTACCAGCTCACACTGCATGGGGGTCCGCGAGAGAGAGAGTCTGCTTGAGGGAACAACATTGGGTTCCAGGACGGTCAGGCTCAATGGGGGTTGATCCAAAAAGTCCTTTACATAGGAGGGCCATTGGGGAAAACCACTAAGAAAATGCTCTCTCCCTCTAAATGGGAAAAGATGTCCATGATCATTTGGGGGCCTTTCACGTGGGTGGCTGGCCGGGTGAGTGGGTGAGTGCCCTGCCTGTAGAAGGCCCGTGTCCGAGGTACGCGAGTGGTTCGCCCGGCTGCAAGCCTCAGCGCGCAAGGGCTGGATTGTCCTATGATCACGGGGAAATCCGGGGAAGGCACTGGTGTTCTTGGGTTGAGTTGGCCGATATGGCAGAACACAGGTATGTGAAGCCAAACTAAAGTCAGGGATCCTTGTAAACTCTGGGGCCCGAGGTGGCAAACTACAAATCTGTGAGGAGAGCAAACAAATGGATGTTGTTTGTCATACGGGCTCGTTTTCAGAGCACATCTCCGAGCCAGCAGTCTTGGGTCGCCTGCATTCAGGACGCTCAAGAAGAAGCTTCTCTTCGAAGCTGGATATGTTCTGTGCCAAGCTGACTTATTGAGCTGCGAATATCGAACTCGTCGGCTCGTGGCCTCTATAAATTGACCGCAAAGTGACGCCTTCTTCACTATGCTGGCATGGCGCTCCAAAAAATTCACTGGGGCCGCGCAAAGAAATCCTTTGTGTTGAAAAGATGGCCATGGGTCAAAACCCCGTACCCCCAGTGAACATCCCAATCCCCACTAAAATAGGTGTTAAAATGGGCGGTGCACCCCAAAATGGGATCCCATTGGTGTTGACCCACAGCCAGATGGCACCTGATGCAAGATGGCTCCTAAGGAGTGCCGACAGCCCAAGCTGAGGATGGGTCCAAGGTTGATCAAACATGTTGACAACCACCAAGTCGAACAGCCGCTGCGTGGTCGCAATCCTCAGCCAGACAAAACAAACCGGCATCTCAACTGGGTCCTCCAGTAGACAGGTTAGAAAAAGGGCACCCTTTTTTCAGGACGTCTGTTTTTGTAGGGGAACCCTTTTTCAGGGACCTAGTCAAACTAACAAGCCGCACCTGGCTCAGCAGTTTCCAAACAGCTTTGGCCTCCCCTCTACTCAAATCACCAAAACCATGCTCAAGCCCGGCGTGGTTGGCTTTGTTGGTGTTGTCAAACCGCGCAAATGATCGTCCAGAAAAAGGGGGCCCAAAACGCTAGCTCCCCTCTTGGATCAAAACAACCAGCAACACGAGTTCACCACTCCAAGTCTCCACAGCAAATCCAGGTTCCAAGAGCTGTCACACGGCGTGCCCGCCCCAACCGGGCAGCTTTTCTTCTGGGTGCTCCGTGCCCATGCACTGCACACACCCGCCTACGAGAGTGCCTACGCGAAGCCTCCGCGACCATGAATAGTGCCTACACCTCTTGCGCCTTCCTTACGCAGATGCCTCTGCAAGCCGCTTGCCTTCCACTTTGCGACCTCGAGCCTTGCAACTTCGCTGAGTTATTCATTGCCCGCTTGCGGCTTGTGAGCTTGGCTGTGATACTGCGGATGGACGAAATCCTGCACCATGTTGAAACCATGGGAAACCATTGCTTGTTTTTGTTTACAGGGGAATCATCAGTCCAGGGTTTTTTAGGTGGTGCAGGATGTAGTTCCAGCAAAACCTCCATTGAACAATCCAGGCCTGACTTTCAGACCGATGAGGAGCTTACCGGCGAACACCCCCACCTAAAGTGCCTGTGCGAACATGATGCAGTTACCTCTGCGTATAAACCCTTGATTCCCGGGACAAAAAACAAACAAAAAACAAACAACAACAGCAAAAAAAGAAACACGCTGCGCGCCTGGCCCTCGAAATGCGATCGCCTATGAAAACCTGTCTCAGATTCATGCAACACAGACCCAGGGCACGGCCTCGGCAGACATGAACACCCTCTCGGCCCCACAAAGGAAGTCCGGGCCATGGGTGACGTTTTCGAAACAAACCTAGATGGCCCTGGTAAATCTAGGCCAGGGCAATCGATTTTTAACCAAACTCAGCTAAGCAGGACACCTACGAGCTGAGCAAATACACACTGTGCTCCCGAATGACGCGCAGGTGCTTGACACGCATAGATGGTGGGCCACTCCATGAATCGGGGATACATTCGGCGCCTTTGCAGGCAGTCAATTGCTCGTCCTATTATTTCACCATCAACTGTTCTTCTCAACTGCAGGGTTAGCAAGAAAGCGGCCCTTTCTTGGTATTTGGCATCCCCTTTCAAAGCTGGCACATTTTGGTGGCGCCAAGGTCCAAAAGCGTCCATATGGTTGACACCTCCCTGAGCTCAGGATCCGGATTCACCGCTTGCGGGCCAAGGCCAGGGAGGAACTTTCAATCCAACCGGCCGACTGCACGCCACTTCACTTTCGCTAGCTCAGCAGTGCTCTGGGTTTAGCTCACCAGCCAAAGATCAAAGTCTCACTTCAGACTGTGGATGGACGAAATCCGCCGGGTAGCGGACTTAACGCAGGGTGGCAACCAGCCGGACTTGAGCGCTAAGCTTGCGGCCAGCTGAAGGCATCTGCCATGATCAGCTCAGTCCTGCCATTCGGCCCGTAAAAAGATACCACACAGAGCAGCTGCTTTGGACAATCGTGTGTGTATCCTAGAAGACCTCACTTCCTGAGTGTGGCAAAAACAAGTCGCTCCTTATTGACCACACGTGTTGACCCCATATTAATCAACCACAGTTTATGAATATGGGTGTGTCCCTGGTTTTAGCGGGGAATCATCGCTTTTGGAGGGGCCCCCACCCCCCTATTAATAAACTGGGGTCGAACAAAAACATGGGTCCAACATTAACATGCGTCTCCCCTCAGAGCCCAGTGGATTTCCATGGGAAAAAAACGAATCGGCATCCTGTTCTGGTTGGTTGACTTCAAAGGAATCGGACCCCTCTCATCAAAAAAAGGTTGAAAGCCGGAACCCCCCCCCCAAAAGGTGTCGACTACAGTGCAACGCAGGGAGTGAGACGCCATACCCATTTCTGTGAATCCATTTACCAGGTCCTCCAGTAGAGAGGTTAGAATACAGGCACCCTTTTTTCAGGACGTCTATTTTAGTAGGGGAACCCTCCCCCAAAAAGGGTAAAAGAGCACTACTGCGGGAGCCAGTTCTTGGATCCTGTCCGGGCAGGATTATGTAGATCAAGCGTCAGCAAAAATCGCGGCTTTCCAAATAGAAAATGGCCATGGCTCCAGAACAACTTGCTCTGACTGACTCGCAGGAAAGGAAAGGATGGGGATGCCATGCTCGGGCTTGGGTTTTCTCCCATGCGCTATGGCTCCTGCCAAGGCCCCAATCAGCGCAGGAAGGTTCGAAGTATATCAGCCCCATGCATGACGCGGACGTGCAATGCAAAATGTTGCAGCTTCGTCTCCTGCCGGCTCAGCCCTTCTTTCCTAGAAAGGAACTTTGTTTAAAGCTTTTGGTTTTCCTTTCGGTGCATGACACCACGCCGCGGCGCTGCGGGGTGAAGGTTCTGCACAAGTCCGCGACGTGAGGGCTTCTAAGTGAACATTTGAGTCACTGTGCGTGCTAGAGGAATCGGACCCCTTAAAATTATCGCTTTCCTTTTGGTGTTCTTTTTAAACCACACAAAAGACTTCGGTTTCAAGGTAGCCATTCACAGTTCTCAGGGTGCAATCTGCAGTCCAACCAACGTGCTGGGGAAGATCCTCCCCGCCCATCTGTCCTGGGATCCTTCAGAGCGGCCGCCTCGCGCGGGAAGTACTTTTCAGCCGCCTGCACCACAAGGTCGTCCACCTGCCGTCCACCGAAAACCCATAAAGATCTACTCCATCCAGCCGATGTTCATGGGAAAGGCTTCGCCCCAACAGTATTTACCCAAGGAATTAGGATGGGGGTAGATGTAAGGGGACTTAAGGGTACTTTTTAAAGTACTTATTACCCCAACAGTACTTGAGCCCCAAAGTATCTAGTTGTGAAATACTTAAGACCTACAGTGATGATCACTGCCATTCGGCTATGTTTTAGCAGCACATAATAGTTGAAGTAAGTGGGACCCTCTCCGCAAGAAAGGCACCACGGGAGGCTTGCGTTTTGAAATTGGGGCACAGGGTGTGTCTCCAAAGGCAGATCTCGAAAATACATGGCTTGCCTGACCCAAAAAGGGTGGTACTGTGGATGGACAAAATCCTGCACCACTTGGAACCCATGGGAAACCATTCTTTGTTGGTATTTACAAGGGAATCATCCTTTCAAGGTCTCTGAGGTGGTGCAAGATTTCGTCCATCCACAGTACCATTATGCCAGTAAGAACCCCCATGTGAAACCCGCAACTCAGAGGTGTATGCATGTGCAGAAAATGAACCAGTCCGCAGCCGCAACTCCACGGCTTCACAACCCACCCGCCATCCTGTCCGTCAGCAGGTTTCTTGATCGCTGGCCAATCAGCACTGTCACTGTCAAGCAGGAAGGCGGGGGGGGATTGTGCAACAAAAATCTATGAGAAGGGGATTCCCTTAGCCTCTCACAGAAAGGGGATTCCTTCATGTCGACCACTTTCCACAACCACTAGGCTTCTAAGGCTTCCCTGAAGCCAACCATTTCCCACCATGCCCTGAAAGCCACCCCGCCGAAAAACTGCAAAGCAAATTGCTCCAGGAACCCTCCAACGTAGCGTTTGAGCATTAAAAAAAAAAACCTTTTGGAAGGAATCGTGGGAGTAGTTTGCGCAAAAAAAGTCTTACCCATTAATGAACAACCTCCTTTGGGTTTGGTGCCAAGATCGCCTTGTTTAAACAAACGTCAAAGCGGTTGCGGGTCCGGGACCTCCCGGGCCCCCGGGTCTCTCGCCTCCAGGACCACGACCTTCTCCACCGGCCAGCTCAGCGCCAAGCTTGCCAAGGCGCCTGACCTCAACAAACAACTCGCGCGAACACCTCGCGCGCAACCGAACCGGGCTGTGGGAAATGGAGCCCACTTCTGTGATGCAGCGGAAAAGGCTTCCCGAAGACTAACTCCCCAGAAAAAGGGAGAGAATCCCCTTGTAGCACAGAAGTGGGGATAAACCCCTCGATCCCACAACCTTGGAACTGCACGACAGGTGGTTTGGCCCCAAAAGGGCTGGCTTCCCTTTTGGTTTCCTGTTCAAATGACACCAAAGCAAGGCACCAAGAAAAACACACACCAAGCAGTAAACACCCAAGATTACCACAGAAACGAACAGGGAATTTATCCAAAACCAGTACCGGCCAAACTTGCAAAACCGATAGGGGCCAACCATGACCGATCAAGTGGTCATGTTGTCCATTGCTCATGGACGAGGTCATGGTTGTCTGAATTGGACTCCTTTTCATGGTCGTCTAAGCTCTCTACGAGACCCAACAACCCCATGCAATTTGTCTAGAAGTCTATGGCGCCGACGTGTTTCCCTCGCGCAAAGACTTCTCCATCAAGCAACGCCGTAAGATTTGCGGTTTGGAAAGGCGGACTAGTGGATGAGTTGTTAGGCACATGTTTATCAAAAGGCGGGTTCCGCCAGGGTTGCTAGCCGCAACCACCCTGTGAGCCTTTGATCAGCATGACATATTTGGATTGTGCATGGATGCCCAAGCCGTTGCTACATACTTTAGGCATGACAGTCATGACATTGCTTGAGTATCTCCCATTAAGACTCCACCAAACACGGGTTGCCATAGCCTGATGGTTTTACGTGGGGTTTTCCACACGTTTTCTTGGTCAGACAAGAACGCGGGGACTGGACGAAAGTGGGATCTGACCTCCCGCCTGGTTGGTATGCAAAGGGGCACGAAAAGCAAACCAACCTGTTTTCGGAGGGGGGGGCATTCCCACTTTGAGAAACACCCTAAGAATGGGGTATTGTCGCGGCTAGGATAATCCCCATGTTTCTGTTACGAGCTGCTCCTAAGGCCCTCTCATTATCCCGGTACCTTGAACAAGTCCTTGGTGAGCTCAACATAGATAGACATTGCTTTCCACAAGCCGCCCTTATTGGCACCCTATCTTTGTCTCAAACCCCCGGTTGTCCTTACCATTTCCATTTAGCCCCTTACAAGTTCTAAACCTTGAGCTTGGGATCTGAGGGCAGCCCAATTGACTTTCTGTTGGAAGTAACCTCAAGACAGCGCCCCTCAAAGGATACATTCCACCTTTTCACCGAAGCACCAGCTGATGCACAGGACCCGTCCGAAAATCAGCTCGGCTGGATTTTTCATGTATCCTTCAAGCAGCCCTGTTAACTAGCACATGTTTCGGTGGGTGTCTCCAAAACTGAAGGATTCATTTGCAAATTCGGCATATTTGCTCCCTGAAACCAATTTTGAAGGTTTGTTGTTCCCCTTCCCCTCCACTATTTGAGGAAATATGTTTGAGGAATGTTTGTTTTGCTAAATCCAGTGATAAGCCCAACAGGCTGGTCTGACCATGGCTCAAACTCTGAGGGCAGAGCCCGCCACCCAGCACCAGCGCCTGAGTCCAAGTCTGCTTGTGATGCGTCAAGCACCCTACTCGCCAAGAAAAAGTGGCGAAAAACGGGTCCTGGTCCCGGAAGGATATGGCCCACAAAGAAAAGTTTGCAACCAACTCGCCAAGAAGGCCCTCGTCCTGGATGGCCTGAAGGTTCCGTGTCTTTTCAGCTTTTGTTGGCCCAAGGCGGGCATTCCTCCGAGAGGACAGCAGTTGAAGGGGGGCAATTGGCCATGGGTCAAAATCCAAATCGTACCCCCAGTGAGCATCCCCATCCAACCACTAAAATAGGCTCTAAACTGGGTGGTGCACCTACCAACCAAAATGGGATCCCAAAACGGTTTTGACCCACAGCAAATTCATCATTCCGAGCTGCGCAACTGGCGGCTCTGCCAAGAATGGTCAAAGCCGGGAGGAGCAGAGCCTCGTCCTGGAGCAATGGAGTGCTTTGGAGCGGCTGGTTCCGGGTTCTGGACGGCTTCCGGGATCGGAGATACCACGTGACTTGGGCTATGTCACCAGAAGATTCATTCCCTTGGGTGCCCGTCTATGGGGTAAAAAGATGCAATGAAGGGTATATGTTTGGGGCCGGTAAACAGGGGCACGCGTTTTCTTCTGTTGACAGAGTCGGAACCAAGCAGAGCAGTGTATTGGAACGCGCTAGCGTTTAATTTCATGTTGATCAAACCTAGGCTACCGCTTGGGTCAGTATGAGGCCAACGGCAGGCCAACAGCGTCTAACAAGGGCCTTGTCTGCTTTGCTGTGCAAATTCAGCAGGTTGATTTCCACGGATCATCTGCTTCGGAAAACAAGGAACAAACATACCCTCCGATCCACAAACAGCAACTCACAGGGGGGTGCTGGAAGACCATTTTCCTCTAGACGGGATCCTGTGGCTAGTTACGTGTTGGCGGACGGGAAGATAGTTGAGCTTAAAGGGATCCGCTTCCAGACAAAAAAAAAAACACGCTTCCCTTCAATTGGTGGTTTGGAGCCAGGTGGTTTGGCTTGGTTCCGGGGGTAGCTTCCCATTTACCCTCCGGGTTCGAAGGTCAGTGAATCAAGGCTTACCGTGAGCCTGCGGGAGATGTGTTTGCCCGAATGCAAAAGGTCAAACCATTCCGCCGAAATTCGGAACCACAAAAAAACACGCCGAGACGAGAACACAGGCACCAGCATGCCAACATGCAAAAGCCGCAAACTAAAATCATCACCACCAAACTCCGCAGATATCCCGCCGAATGCTGCCGATATCTGCCGATTTCCCTGGTTTATTATCCCAGTTTCGGGGAAAGAAGGGTGCCGCAGCAAAAAAGCCGCCACGTGACACAACGCCGAAATGCAAACCTCAGGTGCCGACACTGCAAAAAGTCCGGGTGCAACTTTGCGCAGAAGACGGGCGCACAAATACCAACAACAAACACGTCCCAAACTCATGGTCCCACCGGCCTGCGATGTGCACAGTTGATGGGGGCACTGCTGGGGACCCAAAAACAAGGCCGGCCTTCATCCAAAATGGGACTCACCTGATTTGCTCAAATGGGCTAAGAGCTTTGCACTGGCTTGAGAATCCATTTGGCCAAGCTCATTTAAGAACTTCAATCTGCATGCTTACCTCGTCCGTTGCTGATGTCTCAATGGACTCGGGTTTGGCCCCTTGAGTCTCAGTCTGGCAAATAGGCGTTCCAAGCGAAGCTCTCTGCAGCGTACCGCAGTTTGTCCCCCGAATTTCAATTGGAGACCCTCTGGTGGCCGGCCTCATGGGATCCGTGTTTGAAGGGAGGTCCCCGTCTTTTTAAGTGCCCAAACCTATTGATTTGTGTTTCTTCCAATATCGTGATAACGGCTCACCAAGGCCTTACTTAGTATACAGCTCATGAAAACAGCTAGAAGCACCTACAAAAATTGCCCAATACCGTGGATAGACAAAATCCTGCACCAGGTGCTAAGTGGTTTGCCCCGCTTTTCTCCCCGAGCGTCATCCATCCCACTCATCCATCCCACATGGTGCGAAGAGGATTTCGCTCAGGTCGCAGCTCGGTGCCAGGAGTTGGGCGATAGGATGGCATCCCAGTTCTGGTACAAACCTCAGTTCTTCCCCCACCCCCCGCATGGAACAACGCCATGTTGCGCTCCCCTCCCCCCCCAGCCTTTTTCAGCTGGATTCAACATGGGCCCCATTTCAAGAAAAGCATAAAGGCAAAAAGGGCACCCCCCCTCATATGGAACAAACAAAGCGTCATGTTGAGCGCCCGTCTTTTTTGGATTGATTCTGCAGGGAACCCGGGACACCGAAAAGCAAAAAGGGGCGTGGCCATGGGTCAAAATCCAAATCGTACCCCCAGTGAACATCCCAACCCCCACTAAAATAGGCCCTAAAAGGGGTGGTGAATTCAATCATCCCCCAAAATGGGATCCCAAAACGGTTTTGACACCCACAGCCATAATAGTGAAACTGGCGACCAAACGCTCTGGTTCAAATGGGCAAAACATGGAACCCCCAAGCTCGGATTACCGCTGAGCTCGTTGTTGCCCTGAATGATTGGTCGCACAATCTGCCTGAAAAAGGCGCTCGCAGAAAACAGCCATGCCAAAGGCCAGCAACGCCACTTGAAGGGAGGCACAAACTTCAGAAACAAGTACGTGTCTGTGCTTGATTTTCGTACCCTGGCGCCATAGGAAATGAAACAGTCTCTGGAACACAATTCGCTTCATAATGCTTGTTGCTTCACGTTATCTTTGCTACAGTGTTACGTCTACGTAGGCAATGTGCCTAAGAAGAAACATCGTCCTTGACCGTGCCTTCTATTAGGAGTCATGGTTGAGCCCTGTGAGCAGGTTCTTTGGGCGGGGATAAGCACTTCATAGCGTATCCTGACGGTTCCGGATGCCAGGGAACAACCTCGGCAAACGTCGCTTCTTCTTAATGCAGGTTTTGCGTGCAGCTTGCGTCACCTGCTCAATTAGCACGGGTATATTTACACACAAAAATAACAACGGGGAGGGGGGGGGGTGCGCGCTCTCGTCCTCGAAGTTGGCTTGTGTTCCTTTCATACACCGCTCCCTCCGCTGTGCGGCCCATGGCCCAGCACCACTGCCCACTTTCCGCCGAAAAGGCGGGAGCCGCGTGTGGGTGGCTGTGACTTTGGGTGTGGCTCAAAATTAAGGAGCTAAGGGTACGCGGGTTTCAGTCTTTGGTTCCATTTGCCAAGGCCATTTTGGTACCGGTGTTTTGAGCCACAGCCATTTTGGTTTACAGAAAGAACTAGTGCATGATGCCAACATACTGTGCACGCAATAGTCTGTGCCCATTTGAAACGTGGTGGTAAGCCTGGCGAGGAAGCGGCAAATAAAATCAACAGAGGGTGTGGAAGAAGGAGTGTTACTGTGGATGGACGAAATCCATTTCGCAGCACCTAAGACACCCTGGAATGATTATTTTCCCCTGTAAATAGCAGCTAACAATGGTTTCAACCATGGTTTCAAAGTGGTGCGAAATGGATTTCGTCCATCCACAGTATCTACACACCATATTACGTGAGCTTCCTTAGGAAGCTTTCAAGATACTTGCAAACCGAGGAAAAGTAGTTAGGAATCTTCGACAATGTGTTGATGAAGTTTATCTTCAATCTCTCCCCGTGTTGCCCGATTCTGGTCGATATTCATTCTCCCTTATGTCTAGTCTAAACTGATGTCTACAAAAAGGGAACAAACCCCGGCTTCCCTGGTTTCTCTCGGTGCCGTTTGCGTGCATGAACTGCATGCCTTTGAGAATAATCACCAGTGTGTGTGTGTGTGTGTGTTTGTATGCGTGTTCCACACAAACACACAAGCCCAAAGTCCAGAAGAAGAACCTAGACTGTAGATCAGAGGCGCTTTTGACTCGAAGAAATGGGTGTGGCTCAACAAGAAAGAGGATTTCCCAGAATGAAGAAGGTAGACTACAACCTGCGGTCCCCTGAGTCGCATGACTCTTAGACTTTGAGCCACGCCCCAATGTGCTCACAGGCGCCGGCTGTAGGAAGTGTCCTCCAAGGTGACTTTGACCTCAATCTCAGGTGCTGTTCACTATACTTTGTAGGGTGATGCTCAAAAAAGGGGCCCCCTAAAGTTGGCTTCCTTTTGATGAGGGGGCCCACCACGTTGAGAAACTTAAAAGAGGACGCCCCCAAGGACCTTCATTGTGGGTGAGCTCCGTCTATCCCCAAATCGGAGAGCTTGACACACACATTGTGCAGACTTGACCTCCAGGAAAACCTCTCAACAGGCATTGCGGCCGCATGATTCATGGCAAGCCGCAACTTGAAATAATGGCTCAGGCTCTCATGCTTGTTGGGCTCATCCAACTTACAAGCTGACTCGTTCTGACTGCAAGCTTTAAAACCTCCCCCTCCACCAACTGTTGTCTGATTGCAGCTCCGAAGCGGGCCATCCTGAGCTCGAGAAGCTCACAGCTTCCGGTACCAAACCACGCGACAGCTAGCCGCTGTCAAACTATGCAAATTATTTCCCTGCCTTTAGACAACCCAACAGCACACATCCACATCCTTTGTGATTTTTTTTTTTTAAAGAAAACCAGAAAGAAAAACAACTCAAGGGCACTTCTACAGCACGACAAGGTCCCACCAGCTCCCAGGCGTCGCGCCTTGTTTCCCTCCGCGCTCTTCTGTCTGAACAGCACCTGCGCCAATGGATCCGCTTCAACCACTCGGCTGCTGTTAGTGAGGGAGCTGCTTATCTAGCAGCATCACCTGATTCCGCAAACGCAACGCCACGGAAAACTGGGCTACCCTCAGATCCCCCGCTAGAAGTGACTAACTTGTAGTGGGTGAAATGGACACTACCACTAAACACAAAAAGGCTAAAAAGCTAAGGGGATTGCTGGGAGCCACCGAGAGCCTTGGATGCTTACTGGTTGTATTGGCACTGGACATTCAGTTGAGCCCCATGATCATCCAACGGTTCCTTAAAGGGTCCATGGAAGGAGGTCCTTGAAAAGGGGTGCCTTTTGCTTGGTACACTTGCGGGTCTGTCTAGGACAATCAAAAGAACAGCCGCTCACTTTGAAGGTCGACGATTTTTGGACATCCTGCCGGCCGGACGAAGCCTGGTGAAACGTGGATTTGTCACTCCCTCTTTCTCACTTCCTGTGTGGATTGATTGGCCAACACAAGTGTCTAGAGGTTTTGGTTTGCCACCAAAACGCAAATCCCAGAAATGTCCATGAACTCAGGGGGCGAGCGTAGGCATAAGTGTCCTCTTTGGGGAAAATAGATGGGTTTCCCTGGTAGTTGATTGAACCACCAGGTAAACCAGGGCCCTCTACTTTTCAACCAAATCAGCAAAAAGGACGCCTATGCCAGACTTCGGCCACTCCGGCCTTCTCCTTCCCGGCGGGTTTTGCCAGCGGCAACGGCAGAGTGATGGCCGGCGGAAGACTTGGCGCGCCCTGGCCGGAGGGAACTCGCCTGGGGGCCACTGGCCGTGGGTCAAAATCCACATCGTACCAGTGAACATCCCAATCCAACCGCTAAAATAGGCTCCAAACTGGGTGGTGCACCTACCAACCAAAATGGGATCCCATTGGTTTTGACCCACAGCCCCCTGCCTTCAAAGAGCCACCTGAAATGACTGGGAAGCCTCTGGTGGACACCATAGGTGTCCACCAAACGCGCAACACTCATAGCCATGTGCGCATTGTGCAGGATTGCATTTTTTGGGGAATGGCCAGCAGCACCAGACAGATGTTCTTTGGTCACATCGTTTCCTTCAGGCACTTGCTCGTTCCCCCAGGACATGAGCAACTTGCGGCTTGCGCCTGGCTCCTTTGGTGGTGGACGCATTTCTGGACTTTGAAAGGGTTGGCCCAAGTTTGTGGAGACTTGGATGACCGGCTCGTCGCTCCGCCTGATCCAGCTCCAAAGGAAGCCCCAGCAAGCGGCACCTCACCCAACGTGACAGTCTGGAGATTGCGAGACCCTTGCAAATGTTTGGGTCTATAGGAAGGTTTCAAAATCAAAGCGTCCAAACGCTTCTAGAGTTCTTCGCAACGTTTACCTCCTGCGACACTAGGACCGTCTCCCGGTTCTGCTTGCGGGGCCCAGGCCCGAGTTTTGCACCGCGCGCGAGCGAGCGCCTCTCAAGGCTCCCGGCACGTCCGCGGGGATACCGGCGAAGAGCGCCATGTGCTGGTCTGGCCCCTTCGCTCGAGTCGAGCGGCAAGCAGCAAGCGGTCGGGCTTCCCTACTCTGGATGGCAGAAAACAACACCACTTTGAAACCATGGTTGAAACCATTGTTTGCTGGTATTTACAGGGAAAGCATCAGAAACCAGGGTTTCTTAGGTGGACGGTATGATTGGTGGCTTGCAGCCCGGTCGGTGGTTTGGTCGTCCAAGAACCAAGGCTTCAAATATTCATCAACCCCATGGCTAATAGGGAATGTCCCGCGAAAGAGGAACTCCTTCACTGATCTGGCCAAACAACTGAGGCTTTCGGCGCAATTCCACGCGCAGTTTGTGACCTGCATGAGAAAAACCCTGGTGGTTTCCCATTACCCATCCAATTGCAGTAGTAAACATTTGTCCCCTACGTCGACAAGGGGCACCACTGGGAGTTGGTTGAAATGTTCGCCGTTCAACAAATCCTCGTGTGGCCAACCCCACTCCTACACCAGCATCATCTTACCCGAATAAGCAATTCAGCGGTGGCCACAAAGGTCACGCAAAGAACCGGATCATTAAACATCTATGCCGAATGATTTCCTTTACCTATTCAATCAAACGAAATTGGCTGGCAAACAACTATGATAGTACAGTTGGATGAAAGTAGATGCACACTTCCCTTTCAGTCGGAAAGAAAGGGGGATGACTAAACCGAAGTGGAACTGTTCTACAAGAAAACCCTCCATCCATTGATCCATCCATCCATCCATCCATCCATCCATCCATCCATCCATCCATCCATCCATCCATCCATCCATCCATCCATGCATCCATGCATCCACGGTCGCGGCTGGTGCAACAGTGGTGCGCTGGGCGCCTAGCGTAGTATTGCGCCGCGATCTTCTGCCTAAGCAGGTGTCAAAATTGGGTTGGGGGTGGGTGTTGGGGTGTTGGGGTGTTGGGGGGTTGGGGGGTTGGGGGGTTGGGGTGTTGGGGGGTTGATGGGTTGGGGGGTTGGGGGGTTGGGGGGTTGGGGGGTTGGGGTGTTGGGGTGTTGGGGGAGGGGGTGGGGGGTGGGGGGTTTGGGGCATTGATCGTGGTTCAAAGGCGGTACAAGGCATCGGGGGATTCCCCGAGAGCATCCAAAACAATGAATGCGTGACACCGAGGCTGCAAGGAGGGCGTGATTCATCTTGGGTAACGGACAGCCATCCCACGGTGACTCATGCAGCAGTGACACCAAGAGACTCCCGATTTCGATGGCGCATCTTGGTGGAATGACACCAAGGTCATAACTATGTTGCCCTCTTTCCAACAATCCTGCAAGCAAAGCGGGGTTTACCCTACAGTGTTGGAAAGGAGGCCAACAATCGAAAACCATAGCGGCACATGGACTGGAAGGCATGGGCGAATCAGTTTCCCTTGACCACTCTGGCACCTACAAGATCTCAACGCAGAGCTCGGAGCTGTTTCATTTCACTCAGGGGCTGAAAAGGCCTCCTGGCAGTTGGAGAGCCTCTTTTTGCCAAACCCAGCTTTTGTAGGTTCAATGGACAAACCATTGCTTCCCAAAGGTTGCAGGGCGACTCTGTCACGCGAAAGACCAGCCACGAACCCTCGGAAGGTTTTCGTTCCGAAACCCTGAAGAGAGCACGTGCAATGCAGGGCCCCATCTTGACATAACGTCCCCTACCCTCAGAGGGGTTGTGTTTCTGGTCGCCCCTAAGTTTGAGACTATCAATGGAATTCAAGGGGTCGAACTCCCCCTGCCCGTCCCTGCCCCCAACTGCACTTGTTTATCTTTTTTAAGGGGTGTGACAAGACACATCCTTACAGACTAGTGACTAGTGCCATGAAGGACTAAATCCGGGGCTGTACCCTTCCCATCACTTTCCGAAAGCGAGTCATGTCAAAATTGCCGCCCCAAAGCAGTGGTGTGCCTGTTGCCTTCCCCTTAAACGCAAGAAGGGTACCCTGAAAAGACACACAAAGAAATCAGTATTGAATCAATTGATGGGTCAGCCTGCCAAAAACGCAAAAAAACAACTGACGGCCCTGACTGAAAGCCCTGACGCGTCAGGTAGCTGAGGCACCGACCCGCGCCAGTGCCCCCAATCAACATCTTCCGGTCTGAGCTTGGGGTTCATACCTGGGCGGAAAGCTTTGGAACTGTGGAAAGGACGCGTAACTAGTCACAGCTGAATTGAAACCATGCTATGACATGAGCAGAAATAATCATGACAGTTATTAGCTCGACTGTTGAGACCCTCAAAGAAGGGCGTCAGTGTGAATCTATGTCTGGCCCTTGGGGCCTGCTTAGCAACATGTGCGACCACAAGCTTTCTGGAACCACTGATTTTTCCCTGGTTGGGGCAGGCCAAGTTCTTCTTCTGGTGATTTCGGCCCATACGAAGCAGTCGTCGCCCTCACGTCAGCATCCTTGCTGCAAAATCGTGGCTGCCGAGTGCTCTGCCACAACCTTCCTTTTGCAAACCTCACCCTTGAACCCTCTGCCGCTCCATTTGTATCCCAAAGCCACCTTCAACGCTCGCCGTGCGGCGGAAAATCTGATGTCACGTTCACCTTTGCTTTCCGAATGTGATGGATTCGCCTGCGAAGAAGCTTGCCAAATGTCAGAACCAAAAGAAACCAGGCCAGGCAGCCGCGCGCCATAAACAAGATGTTGCAATGTAGCCCGCGTGCCTGGCATCATGTCGAATTGCAAACGACCAGCAACAGCTTCAGAAGGCGCTGCATGAAGCTGAGAACAAGTGACTTGCCGTGCCGCTGGTCAAGGTCACACTTGTTCCGATTGCTTGCTTGACGTTGGAAGCGGAGCAAACAATCAAAAACAATAGCAGCTAAGTGGTGATTTCCCACTAAGCCACAATCAGCAAACATGTAAAATGTTTCCCAACAACAACCATGATTGCGCTTTGGCCTCGCCCAGGACTGGATGACCTCCGTCTCTTTGCCCGCTTGGAAGAGGAAGAAGCAGACGCGGCAGAAGTCGAGGAGCGAGCGGCTCCTTCTACAACGTGTGTGGCCAGGGACGTGGATGCTGCTGCCGCGGCTGCGCTTGATCTTGCTCTGCTGGAAGCTGGCTCTGACGAAGATGATATCCGCCTTGTGATCCTTTCTGTGTCGGAATGGCATGCTTCCTTGGACGTTGGCCACAAAGCTGTTGGAGCGTGAATGACTTGCCAGGGATCTCCTGAAGCTCCTCCGATTCTCGAGAGGCCTTCGAGCCTGTAGCCATGGTCTCGCTGCTGAAGGCTTCTGGTGAGGCGGAGTACGAGCTGCCAAGAGCCTTGTTTTTTTTTCCCGATGCACGTCCAGTGCTTTGATTCTTCCCACTTCGTGCGCTTTGCTCTGCCTGCCATTTCATTGCTCAAGCGCTGCAGAATTCAGGGAGCTTCGGGCCAATTCCAAACTAGATTGCAAAGCCTGATGACTTTCAGGTTCATACTGACAGACAAACCCTGAAATTAGGCGCTACCAACCAAAGATATTCTATAGAGTGCCAGTGCCATTTCATTCTTTGCGCTGTCTTCCATCTTGCCAGCATGCTTGAGCAAGTGCTTGTCTCAGAACAACGCTTGAGTCTGTCTCCACCATGCCACAGCTCAGGTACGAGCCAAACCTTGTCTGGACTCATTGACCGCCTGGGTGCCTGTTCCCCAAGGTTGTTGCGTAGAGCTAGAGACTGTGTGCTTCAGAAGAGTTTTCGTCATGTACTTTAGTTCCAACATCTGAAATACGGGATCACTCGAGTAAACCACCTATATGGACAACTCCCTTTCCGATTTCCCCCCAGGTGAGCTCGCCATAAAATCGGCAGCCAGATTCCGGCCACTTCTAAACGTGTTTTGCTCTTGTGAGATACTGATGTGATACGTTCTGATCATGGTACTCCACAATTCAACAGGTCCAATCTCTCGTTGCAGCAGTAAATTGCTCCTGCAGCACGTGCTACCGGTACGGGCGCCTTGCAAAGGAGCATACTTGGCTGGCTGACCCCGGTAACCCTCTTGCCATGGTAAGTCCAAGTAGGCTATCAGGTTTCCTAGCCGCTTACCTGACGTTCCCTGACCCAGGGTGGCATGTGGGCCACCATCAAAACTACGTACTTCAGTGGTCTACCCAAATGTAACGAATCAAGAGGGCGGAGATCCCCACCTCTTTATTTCTGCGACTGTCCCTCACTAACCTTCACTTATATATATATATATATATATATATTATAAAGAGTCGCAAGCAGTTTGCGTACCCAGCCAGTACGTTTGGCACAGATTTTGGAGATTTCAACCAATGGGTGGGCCACAGGGGCAAATATGCTGACTGATTCTTACTCGCCCCCGGTTTGAAGCTCAGCGCCGCACTGCTGAGCGCCAGTATGTACGGACCCCTGCCAAAACGCACAGCGCACACGCATGAGTGATGAGTGCAATAGACCCTAGGCCCTGGCTGTTCAATAGGAAGTCTCAACAAACATCGAAACACCTTTTGACTTCCTGTGAACTTCGACACACCTGTGAGGACCATTCATCGTTTTGGGCCATCTGAACCCAAGCCCCACTCTTGATGACCATAGGACCTGAAGCTGTGCATGTGCACGCAGCCGCTCGCTTTCTTGCATGATCATCTATGAAACACCTGCTCATTTCAGGCATCTCCGCTTTGACGCTTTCATACCATCGTTCAACCACACATGGTATCACGTGGTATCACGTGGTATCACATGGTATCACATGGTATCACATGGTATCACATGATCTAACATCACTCCAGCCTTGACTCATGCCAACTCGCTTCAAGCAAAATCCTCCAATGTAGTACAGCCATGGCCCAACCGACCGCCTTTGTCCCTACAGCAAAGCAAACAAACAGCGACGTCCAGTGTCTCGGTGTGGCATGTTCACAGTGTGACGACATGCCCTGAAGTGTGGCGGGCTGGCAAGTAGTCAGGAATCGTAGCGTGCATGGGGAAGACCTGGCGGGCGATGGGCGGGTCTTTGGGTGTTGCTGCTTCCTGCGTGACAAGTCTGACCTTAAAGTGCGGGAACCAAACCCAGGGACAACTTGCTTGCGTGTTCGCCGAAAGTGGGAAGGTGTCGTGCCCCTAAGTGGACCCTGTTATTCGTGGGTTACAAACCACGTGGCTAACCACTTATCAGCTTGGCCGAACATCCAAGTAGAGAGTCAATCTTGTAGATCCAAATCTGGGAGGGTGGTGATTAGAGCTTATAACATGGCATGACATGGAGTGCTCGGTTGTGGTGAAGGTTTAAACGGATGCCAAAGAAAAAGACATTTTGGGGTTGCCCCCATTATGAATTTGGAGACCGACCCATGTATCAAATGAGAGCCACAGGAACAACTACCATTTTGGGGTTGCCTCCATTTGGGATTTGGAGACCAATCCTTCTTGCAGAGGCAAGCCAAAAGACCAACTATATTATTGTGGGAGAGTCTTATTGTTTGGAGGGAGGGCTTCTGGAATAAACCGCCTACCAACTGGTGCAGAAACTCCCCCATCCACAGTGTACCTCTTGCTTCAAGCGTCGAATCACCGGAACCGTTTTTCTAGGGGTTGATTCCCCAATCTTTTCAACTATCGTTCTTTCCAAAAAACCGGTCGTTTTCCCTGGGTTTCAAAGGAGGTAGGTTTTCCAGAAAGATTCGGAGCAATGGAAAGAATGGAATTGGAAGGTAGCACTGGATCCATGGAACCCTTGAATTTCGAAACCCGCTTTCCACAGAAAAGCCCATTTTGACACACATCCACAGAAGGCACCTCGGTTCGCGACCCAAATCCCAGGGCGTGCCGATCCAAAGACCAGGGCATGGGTGGCGAAGATTTTCTGCATCTCCTGCGGGGTGCTGATCCTCAGTGCTCACTGGAGACTCAGTCCAGCGACCCTGGAAAAAAGGGAACCCTTTTGGGGAAAGACCCTTTTTAGTGGGGCAGCCACCAAAAAAGAAAAGGGAAAAAGGGTGCGACTGAACAACTGAGGAGACTTACACCTGAACATTGCCTTGTAAATGGTGGTTTCCTTTATTTTGGTGGAAAAAGCCATGTTTCAAATGGGCAAAATGTATCTTCTAAGGAGTCACAGACTTCCGAAACCTTGCCATGCCGAGCGACGCGGCTTGGTTTGGTGGTTGGAGCGTGGGGCACCTTCCCCATGCCGATTCAGCTTCCATTTGCTTTTCGCAGCCTGGAAAAAATGAGAACCTATTTCCAGCGATGATAAATCCCCTTTAAAACCAACAAGGGAAAATACCAAACATACTCATTTCAGCAAATGGGCGCGTGAATTGAGGGCACAGCGCTTACCAAGGCGTCCGCGTTCAAATTTTCCGCCGAGCCATGGGCGTGCCGACGTTCTGGACCACCAGGCCGTTGTCAGTCAGCACACCTGGCAAGTCCCCCCAAACGCGGTCAAGCTGGCCCTCAATATCCCAAAGGCCACCAATCAAACACACGTGCTTTCTGAGGGACTCCCAAAAACATTGCAAAATTGGTGCTCCGTTTTGGTTTTGACAATTCCCAGTCAAAATAGTCGCACAGAAAGGAACGCAAATGCTTGTGGGTGTGTCCTTTTTGAGGTTGGACACTTCAAAATGGTGATTTTCCTTATGGTTGCCCTTTAAAGCCACCACCAATCAAACATCGGTTGGAAGGCCACTTTGGAATTCAACTGCAAAATTGGGAAAGGAATGACGACTCTGCATTTTGAATTAACAGGGAACTAACGGCAAGCGGGGAGGGTGGAGAGGAAGGAACAAGAATGAGCTGCCTGCTCAGTCGCTCATCTTCATAAACATAAGGGGAGAAAGGGAATGAGGAATTGGGCTCTTCTCGCCGTAGCAGGACCACTGATTTCTGTAGGAGGCTGCTGGCAACGCAAGCAGAATCGACCACAAAGATGGAGGCAAAACGGATTTGAACCAAAACGTCGGTCCACCAAACGTGTGCTGGAGGTCCAACTCGTAGACACCCAAATTTGCCCTTCGGGAGTCCCATTTTCGAACTTTTCTGTTGGCAAGTCTTGTCCAACTGGCAATGCAAGCTATGCTGTCCAAGACTAACTCGCTGAAGTTGACCGGTTGATTCAAGGGGTGCAAACCATATGGCGTGGTTTCTCGGATGACAGTGGGCCAAGACCACCCCGTTGTTCATCTGCCGGGTTTATTTCTATGGGTCAACATTGCCTGCCTTATGGATGCGAGTGCACCGACTTGATGCATGTCAAGCAGCTAAGCTCAGAACTTCCACTCCCCAGTTCTTGGTGACATGGCCCTTGTGAGTGGCTCCCTATCCATCCCTCTTGGACAAAAAACACCAAGGCACCCCTTTCGTATCCCAAGGAGTAAGGATTGGCTTTGACATGCACGTAGGCAGTGGGGCATGACAACATATTTACAAAGTAAATAACCAAATCTCAAGGCAACGTGTCACCAAGGTGCCATCTTGATGTCTAAAACCTCCGCACTTTGCAATGCACCATCTCTTCAGGAGCTGACCTGTACCCCAACCACACCCCCAAGCTTGAGGGCAAGCTGACAGCGGCTGTTGATCCTTCCCCGTGCCTCGCAGTTGCCAGAAGAAGTCTTCAGACCATGCCCTGGCACGCGAATCTGCGGCAAAAGCCAAGAACTTCGCGTGAAATGAGGTTCCAGCGGTACCTGCTCTCTTCGAGGATCTTTGCGCCTTCACTTGGGGAGAAGCAGCGCTTAGCCCCATTTTTTCGCGATGCCCGGAGAAGAGCTTGCGAACACAAGGCACCTGCATCGGACAAGGGAATAGTTGCAGACAAAGCATCAAAAGGCATCTTGAAACGGACCAAAACAAGAGCGCCGTTTGAATGGCTGGGTTTTCGCAAGACCATTCCAGGCCGCATCAGTCAGCGATGCCCGGGCACCCGCACCCCTCAATGGGCTCGTCGGTAAAATCGATCACCACCAGGTCGAACTTTGAGCTGCCGTGCGCTGCGACCTCAGTGGTCTGCTAGTCTGCCCGTCTTTTCGTTGCGTTCGGTTTGGCTTCTGGGCCAGAAGATTGATGTCAGTGAGAAGCATTGATGCGGCCCGAAGGAGACAGCACCTTCAAAGTAACAACCAAGTGAACTGAATGCCCAGTTCAAAGAGGGTGATTCTTTTTGGGGGCACCCCCTTCAGGTTTTGGGAGAGAAGCCACCCTGTTGGATCCTGGAACCAATTTGCTAGAGCAAATTCAACCAACAGGAGCGTCTCGCCGCTGCCGGCCGCGTTTTTCACCGGAGGTCACAGGGTGCGCCAACGGATCGCCTGAGCGACCTACACAAAGGTTCACCGGGTCTGCCTCATGGGGAATCCTTTGGATGCTTGGCACCTTCTTTTCGTTTCATGACATGCGCTTGCCCAAAGGACCCCAGAATAAAAGGCCAACCTTTTTGCCACCTCTACTAAAAATAAGGGAAAACCAAAGGGTTGACAGGTCGATTCGCGCAACGTGCCACTGACCTTGGCCAAGGCCGCAGCCCAGGCGAAAGCGTCGGAGTGTATCATGGTGCATCTCGGGTCATCAAGGCCCGCCGCCACTTTGGGAAACCACCTGGCGCGGCACGCGCTCGGCGCTTGGAACTGGGCGAGTCTAAGATCAGGCGAAATGGGAATCCCCCTGGCTGGTTTGGAAATCACCTGGTTGGTGGCGCTTGGACATCGGCGAAGGATCTGGGGGAATCTGCGGTGCTGGAATGGGAATCTCCCCCTGGCTGGCTTCCTGTGATCAGTGTTCCGTAAGCGCCAAGGTCAAAGAGGCCTTCCGAGGGGATGGCAGGTGGCGATCAAAACCAGACGACCCCTGCGCAACCAAACTTCAAGCACAAGCTGAGGGCAAAAGGTCTAAACGATTGGGTTGAGACGGCCAGCCAAGCAAACATGTGGTTCAAGCACTTTGACTTCACATGCTATTATATTGGCCCAGAGCATCTGGTCAATATGCTTCCTGTTTGTCTTTTGGTTGTATTCTGGGGGAGCAGTTCCATCCCAAAAACATCTCTACGCAATTCAAAGTATCTCCTCGGGATTCAGTTTTGCTTTTCGCGGAAGCTCAAAGCCATCGGTCCTCTCATGTCCACCTGCAAGTCAAACACTGCTGTTTTCACTGATGCACATAGAGCCTAGACTAGGTTAAGTCCAACAAAAACACACATATCAAGCTATCACGCTCAACGTCTTCAAAATCCACCACTTTGAAGCGTCTACAGGAATGCGCTCGAGAATCCGAAACATGGTGCCGTTACCTCCAACAGGAGGACATGTGGGTGGGTCCAAGATGGGGGAAGTCCAAGATGGGTTGCCCGATCGGTGGAGACATGGACTCAACAATTCTTGCGGTCCGGTTCCTGGCGTCTCATTCCGACCCATGGCCATTGTGATTGTTCCAATGCCGGGCCTTTTGGCCTCCTCTGTGACAGTGGCATCGATGTCCACATTCACCACCTCAACGGCTTCGAATCCCGTTCGCAAGAAAAAGGTGGAGGAAGCCTTGCTTGCAATCCTGAAAGCTCTCCCAGGCAAAAGAAAGAAACAGGAGCAGGAAACAAACACAAGTACCTGTACCCTCCTCAAACATGGGCGATTGCCCCAACATTCTTCGGCGAATTCCCTTTTTTGACGGCTAGATTTAGGGTAGACATATGACCAAGGACCAAACTGCCTTGTGGCGTCTTCAGGCCGTGGGCTCGTGAGCCAAGGGATCTTTTGACCCGAAAGCGCATCCATTTTTCAGGGAAGCCCCCATGGGGGGAGCCATCATTTTTTTTTCAGCTTCTGGAGTCCTCTCTTGAGACACACCCACCATGCGCACTCCCTTTTTTTCGAGGGCATCGCTTGGTGAACTGTGTCGAACTGCAAGGCGCAGGTCGCGATGCCACCGTCCTAGGGCCAACGGCGTGGTCTTGGGAGGAACGCCTGGGTTGTTTCTGGTAGCTTTGTAACATGGTAGATAAGGTCCAGTGTATGTAAGCTAACCAAACGGCACCACACAAGCACGCGATAACTCTTTTATCCAAGCATTGTGTTGGTGCCAGGGACTCATCTTCCCCTGTCAGATGTTCACGGCTGGGTGGGCCCCATGGGCCACCCACCCCAAACTTTCAAATCCCAAAGAACGGGTGTGCAGACTGATAGCGCCCGCCCTTGGGCCGGGGCCGAGGGCACCCAGGCCTCAAGGGGGTCTGCCACCAGGGGAAGTGTCAAGAGACGGCAAGGTGACGTCCCGTGGGACGCTGTGCACCGAACCCTCAAGCTTTAATACCAACCACGTAGAAAGGTGTATACGGACGATGCCGTTATAGCCGAACCCGTGTAAACGTTGTAAGGGAGAAGGAATGATAGTTACAACAGTAGTCCTGACAATGCGGCGCAAGCAGTTGTTTTGCTCTTAATGCCGATCACGTAGGTCTGCAGTCACACATCAGATCTTGAACCTCAATTGTGTCTTGAGCCAAATGGCGATCAATGGAACTTGGGAAGCAACACCAACAAGGACCTCAGAACAGCTACCCAATTTCGGCACGGGGCCTAGAGGGTTTTAACATCCCCCATTTGGGTCGCATTGTTCATCATGCGGTCCAAACACCACAAAACGTTCCACTGGCCACGGCTTCAACTACGAAATCGTGTCGTGCATTCTTTTACTTGCTATCACTACACCGTTCATTCGCTGTGAAACATGCCGGGTTCGATTGTACGAAAAGTGAAACATTCATCCTCCAATCGAAGCACACATCCATATGCAGGTGTATATAATACACTGTGGCCACTTCACTTGACCGCCAGTGAACATTCCAGCTGCCGCATTTGCGCATCGCGCAGCTGTCATCCATAAATGGGTTGGCCACAAAAGTCCACCAGACGCGCCCGCTTGTGATCGGTCTGCATATCTCCGGCAAAGAAACATCGGTGAGTAATCAATGCAAATCATAGCCATTCCAGATACCATGGACAATGCATAAATAATGAAAAGATATCATCTATAAGGTAATAGTTCCATCCATGAATATCCAGAGCGTCATAGTCATCGGAATATGTAACCATGTACACATCCATTCAACTTGGATATATGAAATCATATCATAATGTAGAGTCGTTCCGTCGCAATGGTGTTGATGAGACGCAAGCAACAGATGGGGACTAACCCACATCGTGCCGCAATCAACATCTTCACTACGCATACCGGTCCCCAATGGACAGTCTGTGAGTGCGTCGACGGAACTCCTCGTCCAAGTTCTTCTGGGCTTCTCGTGCCCGGACACACTTCTTGTTGTAGTCCTCTGGCAACCAGTGCCCTTTCCGAAGGCACCAATCCAGCAGGGGTGTGTCGCATTTGTTCGGGTCGACGGCCGAGATGATGGCGCTCACGTTGACCGTGTAACCATGTTTGCCAAGGTTCAGGCCATCCCTCACGAATGATATATACTTACAGTTGAAAGCTAGTGCAAAACATCTGAAAATAATATCACCCACCGGGTGCACTCGGTCCTTGACCAGGAGCTTCATTTCTTCCTTGGTGACATCGAGGATTCTCGCTGCAATCCACAGCTTGTAGAATGTGTAAAGTCCCTCGCATTTGTTCACCATCATACGGATATATTCGTCACGCTCCTCAACCGATCGGAAGGCTCTTGTCCGAACATTCTCCGATTGAGAAATCTTCGTTATTGTTGATGGCAAAAGTATACCTTCCTGATCGTGCTCAGTGATGTTGGGGTACCTCTTGAAATCATTGTGGTAAGGGCAGCCCTCTCTCCCCTCGAGCTTGGCATTCATCGTTCTCTCCTCACCACCCTCGAACATCCCCCACATCTTGGACATCTGGAGTGCGATAAATCCTGCCATGTACTGAGCCTCACGCGGCTCGTCAAGGCAGATCGCCATCCGTTGGGAACTTATAATGTCCCGTGACGCCAGATCGGTGTCGCGGTAATGCCAACCGCTGTCTTCTTCTTCTGACGCATAGCCGGATGTATATCCTTGCGTGTCCATGTCGTCATCTTCTCCCGGAACTTCCTCCGCTTCGTCTTCATCCTCCTGTGCTGCCGCATCGTGGTTAGCTTCTTCCTGTGCACGCCTGGCATCTCCAGAGACGTTGGGGTTTTGGTTGTCCTCCTCGTCATCGGATTTGATGTGAATGTAGTATCTTCCGATGGAGATCAGTTGTGCCTCGCACTCCAGGCATAAGCAGAAGCAGGTGGGGATCGCGGTCGCACATGATGGACATATCCGGCACCTCAGTCCTTCCCATGTCTCATCATTCAGGATGACGACTTTGCTGATTTCGTCCCGGACCTCGTTGACCTGTGCGTTGAACTCTTCCATCTTGTTGATTCGATAGAGTTCGCAGGCACGATTAACCATGTCAACGATGTAGTGCAGATTATCGGCACCTGTCTCAGTCTCCGGCATCCTCTCGCTGATCTTTGCGACGTTCTGGAGGAACATCGCAGCCGACTCTTGGGAAGAGTTGACAAAGCCAGGGCAGATCTCGTTCTCCACACACTTCGAGTACGCCCTCTTGATGTCAGCGTACTCCAGGCGCTTCCCTCCGTTGCTTTTGCCAATCCAAATGGACTTGACCTCATAGAACGGGATCACGTCAAAGACCATGAAAGTCCCATTAGCCGCGACTCCAGCCCCATACCGCGCGAGGGTTGCACTGGGAATATAGATGATCGCAATCGGATCCCCTCTCCTCACGTTCCGTAGCGTTGTCTTCGTCGCCACGTTCATCTCATCCCATGGAGCAAACGCCCCGAAGTGCAGTGCTAGCCTGTTACCGCCATCGATTCCGCCGGGGACTAACCCACAGCGTACGATGCTTGGCAGGTTTTCCACATACGTCACATGGAATGCTCCTCCGAGAGAATCACCCATTCTTGCGGAATACCTATTCGCCAGTGCGGATGAGCTCATGAATCCAAAATCACTGTGACCGGTTGTGACTCGGATGCACCAAGGTCTGTACCATCCATCGCATCTGTTGAACATCCTGTCGATGTCGTCCCGATCCACGCCAGCTTCGGTCATTTCCTCCCTGGCTGCCCTCGTGTCGTTCGGGTTCATGATGCTCGGAAACCTTGCTGCCAAAACCTGGAATCTCGATTTTCTGCTTCCGGATTCCTGCCACTTGATCACCTCCATGATGCCCATGTATCGTTTCGCTCTCGTGGTGTATGGTGGGAATATGTCGTTGTTCCGGTCGTCAATGACAGCATCAATGTCGACCCATCCACCCTCGTCGCACCTGAAAGCACTTCCTCGGCAATTGCCGATCTTGTGTCGAAGGACTCTGCATAGGTCGTGAGATAGCTGGTTTGCTTGGTCCCTTGTAGTAAATACCGAGCGATCATCACCAATCCTGCATAGTGGAGCACCGTCGAAAGGAGCAATGCAGAAGTTGACACTCTTGCCAAGTTGCATCACGTCCACTTGCTCAAGGATTGCACCTTTGGGAAAGTATTTGGGGTCAACGATGGACGCATACGCCCATGGCAAGTGCACATCACTCACATCGCCATACTTCGGGATGTAGCACGGGATGGTGTCGCATCCCATCTCAAGCGTCTTCTTGAATGTCCTGTTGTCCCCGCACGGGTTGTAGGTGAGGTCGACGCCACCACATTGTAGCTCTCCTCCCTCAGCCGTGTCAGCCATCTCCACCAAATTAATAGTGTAGCTGTACATCTCAATTGTTTCTTTCCCTGCTTGTCCCCCTTTCTTTCTTTCCTTGGACGTTGATGAGGACGGTTCCTCCGTATCCCCCATGTCTTCATCAGATGAAACAGGGTCACTGCTGAGTAGCTCACGGAGCACCTTCATCGCCTTCTCATTTCCAGCAGCCTCTTCAATGTCCTTGCAGTCGCCGTCGTGGGCCAGGTTCGCGCACTTCTTACAGATCCCCATATCTCCCATGCACTTCTCCATTGACTCCAGGAATCCTAGTGCCGCTCTCCGCCCGTCGATCACTCGCTGCTTCTTGTCTTCCTTCTCAGCATTGGGCTGAGAACTTCGACTCGGGTCTGGTGCTTGACCAAGACCCTCATCTTCGCCCTCCGTGGCCTTTCTCTTGGACCCTTGTGCAGAGGGCTCGGTGATCAGGGATCGTGGATGTCTGGGCTTGACCTTGTTCATGATGTCAAGCACCTCCTTCGTGGGCACGCCGAGCTGTGCGGACGGTCTGTTCCGCTTTCTGTTCTGGCCCGTCGTGTGGGTCACGTTCCCAGCGAGGTGTCGCACTATTGACTGCTCGAACTCCCTCTTGATCTTCCATGCATCCTTCCACAGTGGCAGTTCGTGCTGGAAGTACGACATCACCTCAAAGAATCCCAACACCATCTCGACGACGTCTCCCAAGGATTCCTCGTTCGTGGTTTGTCCCAGGAGTTCATACATCGTTCCTTGGTCGAGCACACTCTTGATCCAGGACGAATATGCCACATTGCCAAGATCTTTGCCTATCACGAAGATGGACATCCTCTCCTCGACTCCCTCGGAATTCTTGCACACGATCACATCCCGGGATGCGCACAATTGCTTCCCGTGACCGTTGTTGTAGAACTGCGCTGCTTGATCCACAGTCATGCTCACGAATCCCACGTGAGAAAGCTCCTTCTTCAGCCTTGAATACGCGAGCTCCCGTATGATCGTGATCATGGCCTGGATATTGTTGACGTCCACCATGAGGTTTTGAAGGTCGGGGATTGCCACCACGCATTCCGCGAAGAGGCGCGTGTACATTTTCTTCCCCTCGATAGACATTGCAATACCGTTCGTGTCCGCGTTCCAGTTCGCGCAACAGTTCACGCAAGAAGAGGGATTGTACTTCGAATTCGGTCCGAGCACCTTCGACTTGCTCATCTGCATCTCTTTAGCGCAAA